AAATAAAATAAAATTTCAACAAACAAAAAAGATGAGAAAAATGATTAATGGCCTCTTATTTTTATTGAATTTATTAAAAAAAATATCATTAAATAATAAATATGTTTTTATGGATGTAAAAATATATAAATTAAATTTATGATATTAAAAATATAATATAAAATAGATTTTATATATTATTTAGAAATTTTCTTTATTTATTTTTTTTAAAGGCACAATATATCTATTTTTAAATCAAAGAAATATGCATAATAAAAATTAATAAGTTTAAAAATATTATTAATTTATTTTTATTAATAATTATGAATTAATCTTTATATTTCTTTATATTTTAATTGATTTATTTGCAATTAATTATTTTTATATTTAAATATGCATTTTAAAAAATATATTTTTTTCATGCAATATATATTATATTACAATTTATTTTATTATTAATTTAAATATAAAAGAAAAATATATTTTGATCATAATATATAATCATTTATTGCATTTTATTTTAATTTTTTATATTTAACATAATTTTATATCTTCTTAAATTTGATTTGTAAAATATTTTTATATTAAGTTATTATTTTTTTAATCCTTTTTTTATTAAAATCCAAAATACATACATTATAAAAATATAATTTTCTTAATAATAAGTTAATATAATAAAAACAAAAAATAAAAGAAATTAAAACATTCTAAATAAAAATACAAAGTAAAAACGGAAAAAAAAAAAAATATTATAAATTAAAAAAAATGTTTATCTTATATTTAATAATATTTTTTTTTCTCATAAGTATATTTTTTTTAAAAAAAACTTAAAAGCATCAAATTTATTTTTTTATAAATAAATAAAATTAATATTTTTTATGAAATTTCATTTCATTTCATTCTTTTTTTTTTTTTTAATTATAATTCTAGTAAATAAAGTGACATTATGTCAAAATTAATTAATAAACATATATATGGTTTTATTGAAAAAAAATACCTTTATTAATTTTTCACTCCTTTGTTTTGATTAGTTTTTTATAGAATACATACAGAATAATTTAAAAAAAAAATATGACTAGATAATATTTTAAAAAGTGAAAAATAATTTTTTAGAAAGATATAAATATCAAAATTTATTTTTTATTACAAAATATTTGATTGTATTATTTAATATAAATGGATATAATAAATTAAAATCATAAAAAAATATAAAAAAATAAAAATAGCTAATATAAAAAAAACATAAAATACTAAAATCTTTAATTTTTTTTACTTATTTTGTTTTTTTAGTATTTTTATATATTTAAAATAGAAATCATACTTAATCCTCTTAATTATTAGCATCAATTTCTTACTTTGCTTATTCTTCAGTAGCTTGCTTAGCTTATTCTTCCGCAGCTAGTTTAGCTTGTTCTTCTGCAACAAGCCTAGCTTGTTCTTCTGCAGCAAGCCTAGCTTCTTCTTATGCTTATCTTTCTACTTCTTCAGCAGCAATTCTAGCTTCTTCTGCAGCTATTCTAGCTTCTTCTGCAGCTATTCTAGCTTCTTCTTCTTCTTTTTTTCTTTATTCTTCTCTTTCTTCAAGAACTCTAATTTTTTCTTTTTAGAAATCTTCATTTACAAGTTCATCATTAATTTTAAGAAAATAATCAAATTTAATAAAAAATTCCATTTTTGGATCTGCATCAGCTAAAGTGTCATTACAAGGATTTCCATTGAAGCTAAAAGAAAGTAGAGATTTTAGCTTCGGAATTTTGAGAATTTATTTAAAATCTTCAATAAGATTTTCTGCCAAATTAAGATGATAAAGAGATGTTAAAGATGGAATTAAAAAGTTAATTTTTTTGATTGAATTTTTTCTTAAGGATAATTAATTTAACATAGGTAAATTTTCTAAATCTTTAAAGTTTTCTATTTCGTTTTCTTCGGCTATTAACTCTTTTAAATTTTACATATCTTTTATTCCTTTTAAACTCTTTAGTTTATTTTATGATATATTTAAATATTCTAAAGAATTGATTCCTCCGAAATTATCATCTATTTCCACTATTTCATTTTCTTAAATTTCTAATCTTCGAATTTTACTCAGTTTCAAGTGTTCTAATTTTTAAATTTTATTTCCTTGTAAACTCAAAAATTATAAATAAGGCAATATTTCTTCATCAGATTCAGGATTAAAAATCTTCAAATCTCTTATTTAATTTCTTTATAGATTTAATTATATTACATATTTTAATTCTACTATTGTACCTATGTTTTATATTTAGTTTCCTGATAAATCTATATATCTTAAATGTGTATAACTGCTTATTAATGGAAATATACGCTCTATTTCTTTTTCAGCCAAATTTAATTTAACATAAGCATATGATCCGTTATTTGCTGTTTTTTATATGTTAGATAGATTTTCTCTTATGTCTTGAGCAAATTTATTCTCTTATTCTTTTAAAATTATAATGTTTGGGTCTTCTTCTGGTCTCTCTTCCACTTATTCTTCCTGGTTTTCTCCGTTCTCATCATTTTCATTATTCATATTATCATCGTTATCAGCCATCTCTTTTTTATTTATCTTTATATTATTTTAATTTCTAATAATCTTATTTTTATTTATTTTATTTTTAAATATTAAAAAATGTTACAAAATTAAATAATGAGTATATTATAATTTTTTATTGTTTTTTGATTTTTTAATATAAAAAAGTATGAAACATATAATTTTATTTTTAAATATTTATGATTCTTAATTATTTTTTTATGTAATTTTAGTTTTCTTTATTAATTATTGAAATCTAATTTTAAAAATTTTTTAGTTTAAACCTAAATAATGAAAAAAAAGCAAATAATATTTCAAATTTAATATAAATATTACTTTAATTAAATTAAATTAAATTAAAAGGATAAATTTCTATTCAAAGAAATATATTATTATTCAAATTTCAAAAAATAATATTATATTTTTTCTATAACTACAATATTAAAATAAATCAAAAAAATCTAAACAAATCAAAACAAAAAAATAAACAAAAACAAAACAAAAACAAAAAAATAAACAAAAACAAAAACATAAAAAAAAAAAAATCAAAAATTAAATAAAAAGTAACAATATACAATTTAAATCCTAAAAATTTGTAAATATCTTCATAAGTTATACCTATTCTTAAAAGATAATAATAAAGTTATATGATCGGTTAATTAATAGATAATATGAACAAGTAATATTAAAAAAATAGTTACAGCCTCCAAATTCGTAAAAAGAAAGCTCATGTTAAAGTAAGATTAAATATAAACAAAACCTGTTAAAAAAAAAAATCATAATCATTTTAATATTCTTTTGATAATATAAAAAAACAAAATGAAGATTATAATAAAATTAATTAATTAAATAAAACTTTATATCATAAATATTAGACTAATAATAATAATACAAACTAAAAGAATTATAAATATTATTAAAATAATAATTAAAATTAAAAATAAGAACACAAAATAAATACAAATTTTTTTAATAATTCTATACATAACTTTAATTAAAATCAAAATAGCAGAATAATAATAAATAAAGTATTATATAATTTAAATATAAAAATTAATTTTTTTAAATTATTTATTAATTAAATTATTAATATGTACACAATATTATAAAAGGAAGCACATAATCATTTAAAATAAGTAATCTTTAAATAATAGATAGAAATGAACTGTTTTTTAAATTAAAGATTAGTAATATTATAAATTAATACAATAATTTAAAATAAAATTAAACTTTTAATTTAAATAGAATTCTGATACTACAGAAGATTTAAATAATAATAATAATGGAATTTAAAAAAAACACGAGTAAATTTCAAAATAAAAAATGCGAGATTTATCAACAAGTATAGACACAACAAAAATATTTGAAGATGATTAAATATTTTAGAATAAAGAATCTATTTTATAAAAAATTCATTTATTAAATTTTAATTCGAGATAAAATAAGTTTAGTATTACCCATCCAACTTAAAAAAAAAAATACTTATAATCTATTCCAGAAAAATGCAAAATAAATAGAAGCTTTTAAGTTATTAATAGAAAATATGATTTAAGTATTATTAGTGAACATGAAATAAATGAAGATTATTTATTTGAAACTGTTGTTTAAAAATGTCCTAAATAAAACTAAATAATCCCTTTATTTAAGTAGATTTTTATTTTTTATTTTATAACTTATATATTTGTTATAGGAGTGTATAAAAATAATCAAAGAATTAACAAAACAAAATAAATTGATTAATTTAATAAATAATTTTTTTAAAATAAATTAGATAATTTTAGTCTCTTGCTTCTTTTTTAAATTAAAAAGAAAAAAAATATGTGATATAACTAATTAGCTTTTTATAGTTTTTCATTTAATATTATATAAAATAAAGATATTAAAAAATTTTTGGTTAATGTTCATAAAAAAATATAGCTCAATATATATAAATATAAAAATACTTTATGTTTTACTAATTTCTATATAAAAGTATTATATATAAATGTAAATATATTATGTTAGTTTATATTTTATATATATATAGAAATTTTTGTGTTTTATAATTTTTTAATAATATGTTTTTTAAGCTTATTTATTATTAAGTAAAATTTATATTTAAAACTATTCTAAAATAAGATTTGTTTATTTATATAATATAATTTAATAAATAATAATTATATTAAAAATATAAAAAAAAATATGTCTGAAGTATCCTAATTATTAAAATAAATAGCAAAAGAGATGGGAAAAAATGAAGAAATGGTATAGAATTTTATAGAATCGTAATCAAAATAAATAAATTAAAAAAAAAATATTTTAAATAAAAAAGTCTAGAAAATGATTGGTATGATACACTAGAATCTTTAAAAAAATTATAATTATAAGATTATTTAAATCGAAAAATTCCTTAAAGATTAGCTGAAATAATAATAGATAGAGTAAATAAAAGAAAAAATTAATAATAAGTATAAATATGCTAATAGATAAATTAAAATAAATAAAATGAAAATAAAATAAATACTTAATAATAATAATAATAATAATAATAATAATAATAATAATAATAATAATAATAATAATAATAATAATAAATATAACTGGAAAATTCTTTTTAGTAACAAGATATAATAATTTAATAATCAAAATAATTATTATAAGAAATAAAATAAATAACTATTACAAACGAAAAATTTATATAAAAATTAAATATTTTAAATAGAATTTTATCTAATGTTCTTTTTAATCCTGAAAATCCCACATTTAAAAAGATCAAAAAATCATCTAATGTTTATAATGAAAACATTTTGCCAATTGTTTCTATGACTGAGATTTTAAAATTAGCGCATTTTTAAGAGTGTTAAGAATTTATTTTTTTAGCTGATAATGATGTTAATATAAATCTTTTGACTTTATTAGTAGAATAAGTGAATTTAAGTATTTAAGAAAGTTCTATTTCAAATTTCAACCCTTATTAATCATATTCATGGGGAACTTCAGGCATTAGCAATAATAAAATTGCAGAAAAGGAAGGTTTTGTATGCTTTTATGATGAATTATAAAAACTTTAAAGAAAGAGAGACGTAAAATAAAGATACTGTTTAAAATTATTCTTATATTTTTATTATTTAGGAGTTGATGAATGTACCTATTAAAGACAGAAAATTAAAAGTTTATATTTTAAACTAATTTAGTTAGAAGAGTAATTATATATATATATATTTTTTAAATAAATTAATAATATAAGTATATACTAATAAAAATCATTTATTAATAAAAATAAGAAACGTAAAATATTGTTAATGAAGATTATGAAGAAACTTAAGATAAATCAAACTTATTGAAAGATTAATTAAAGAAATTTATATAAGTAATTTTTTTTTTATTATTAAATAATTTATAAAATTAGTAGAATTTAGAAAACTAATAGTTTTCATCAAAAAGTAAATAAGAATATGATAAATTACTAAACACTCCATTATATACATAAACAACTATAAGAATAAAATTTCCAAACAACATTATTTTAGAAGCTTTATTTTGTCCGAAAGAAACAATAAAAGATGTTATTGATATTGTTGCAAAAGTAAAATATTATTTTAAATATTTTTTTAAACTATAATTTAAACAATAATAAAAGCACCTTGAAAATCCAAACATACCTTTTTATTTATTCACAACTCCTCCAAGAACTATTATGGATAAAAGATATTATGAAAAAACACTTGATGATCAAGGATGTTTACCTGGAGCAAATTTTTATTTTGGAATAGATGATTAATAATTACTAAGCTAATATTGTTTATTAAGAAAAGACTTAATTTAAAAATTAAAATAATGAATTAAAACAAAATTAAAAATATATAATTAAATATTATATTATTTAATATACAAAATATATATAATTCGAAATTTCATTGATATATAAATATATATATACTATTAATTTTATAAAAGCTCAAATTCATTATCCATTAATTAAATCGTGTCTATACTTCGAAGGAATTTTCCAAAAAGTATTGCTATTTAAAGAAAGCATCATTTAATTTAAAGTAGGGATACTAGAGTTATATTCTTCGTAAATTTTGCTTCCACTTTCTGTTCTTCTAGGAGAAAATACTTCTTGTCTACTACCTAAATCACTTGATTTTTCTTAAATAGTAGATAAAGTAGGCATGCCAAAGTAATTATTTTTCATTCTTCCATCTTCTCCTCTGCTTTTCATATTAATAAACCATGTATGCTTAATTAGCTAAGTACTATCAGGCCTTTTCAAAGGGTCTTTTTCAAGCATACTCTTAAGAATTTCAATACAGGAACACGAGCATTTAATAGCAGCATCCTTAGTATCAAAATCGATTTCACAGATTTCATTTAACAAAAGAAGTTAATCTGGGTTAGCAGCGTTAAATGGCATTTTTCCAAATATTAATATATAAAATACAACTCCTAATGAAAATATATCAACTTTAGAATCATATGATTTTGTTTTAAATATCTCAGGTGCAATAAAACCAGCTGTTCCACATTTTTTAAAAGGCTGTTTTTATTTGTCATTGTAATATTCAGCAGTAAAAAAATTACTTATACATATCTCTTTTAAATTCTGGGCATTCTTGAAATATAAATTATCTAATTTTAAATCTCGGTGAAATATTCCTTTTTAATGCATATAGTTTAGACCAGATAATATAGAATCTTTTTTTTTTATATTTAAATTTAAATTATAAATATACATATTATTTCAGAAACAGATTTTTCATCAGCAAAAATACTATCTCCAAGTTTGCTTTTAAGACTTTTTCCTAATAAAATATCCATTATAATAAACATATTATTTCCTTCTTCATAAATTTCATATAATTTACATAAAGAATTATGGTTTAATACTCTCAAAATAGAAATTTCATTTAAAAGCATTTATTTATTTTAGTCACTAACAATATATTTATCTATAATTCTTACACAGTATTAATTAGAATCACTATATCTTTATAAAAAAAAATATTTTTAGATAATAAAAATTATTATTACCTATAACATTTATAATAAAAATTAGAATCGGGCATATGAGAATAACATTTAGTTTTAGTTAAAACTTTATATTTTTTACTAAACTTTTATAAAATACAATATCTTTTCATTTTATCATACCAATTATTAAAATAGTCTAAATTATCGACAAATAATTCAGTTTTATGCTCTGCGAAAGAAATTCTCATTCCATATTTGTAATTTGTATAAGAGTTTTCTGAATATTTAATTTTCTTTAGAAAACATGAATTTATTTGTAAATATTCTGCCAATTATTATTACTCATTTTCATGTTAAATTTCTTATAAAATTTCACCTTTTTATATTAAATTTTATATTTCTATTTTGATTAATTTGTCAGAATATAATTCAAAATGATAAGCAGTCCATTTTTTGGTTTTTTATGATTTTAAATATAACTTCCCCATTAAAATTATGTGCTAATCTGATTACTAACCTTCGAAATCATACTTTTACCAAAAAGATGAAGGATTTTTAAATTCGTCATAAAAAAATGAATCTTCAATAGATTTTAGAGAGTTATCATTTGAGGTTTGATTTTTCATAAAAAAAAACAAATATATATTCAAATTAAATTATCAAGATTAAATATTGATTTTTTCTTGTAATTCTTCAATAGTATTATTTTATTTTTTAATTTATAGGAACAAACTAATTTATATATAATAAATAGATTATTATGCTTTTAAAATATAATTATAATTATAATTTTTATTTTGATTATTAATATTATTGTAATTAATGTTATTATTATAATTATTTTTATAATATTATATTTATTATTATTATTATTATAATTATTATTATTATTATATTTTTATTATTATTATTATTATTATTATTATTATTATTATTATTATTATTATTTTTTTTTTATCATTATTATTTTTATATTCTTGAATATTATTAGATTTTATTATTATTGTAATTATATTTATTATTAAAAATATTAACTATTATTAATTATATATAATTTTTATTTATATTTTTATCTCTTTTTTATTTAGAAAAATTTTTATTTATATTTATTTTTAAGTAAATAAAAAATATTTTTAAGTTTATTTATATAATTGAAAATATTATAATATATAAAAAATTATATATTATATAAAATTATTTTAATATAAAAAATAAATAATATATAAATAATATATATATATATATTTTTGAATGTAAATTTTTATATTATTACCATTTTTTAATTATAAAAAAATTAATTAGTTATTTTATATATCTAAAACTATAATTAAAAAATATCAAGAATTATATATTATAATATATTATATATAAATATAAATATAAATATAAATATAAATATAAATATTTTTTTTCTTAGTTAATCTTTGATTTATATTGTTTTTTTATATAATTTTTTTCTAAATTATTTTAATTGGTTATCATTAATCTTTTTTTAAATTTTATTTTTTCAATTATTTATTTTATCTTTTGTATATTTTACTTTTAATATACGAATATATATTTTTTTTAAGTTATTTTTTATATTTTTTTGTTATTTGTATCTCTCTTATATTAGTGTTCGTATAATTTAATATTTCTTTTAGAAATTAATTCTTTTAGTTTTTTTATATTTTTATCTCCATACTATTATAGTTTTTTTAAAATTAGACCAATATTTATAATTAGAGAAGATACATTTTTTTTTTGTATTATATTATTAAATATTATTTTTTATATTTTTATAAAACTGTTAAATTAATTTAATTAATATTTTATTTATAAGTTTAAATTACAATATTATTTAATCATTTTTTATTTATTATCATAATTTCTATTATTTATTTTATTTATTATATATTTATTATAATTTTTTTTTTTAAATTTAAAAATGTTATTTATTTTTATTTATTAATATAATATATTTTAATAATTTTATTAATTATTATTATTATATTTATTTATTATTATTTATTCTTAATTATTTTTTATTATTTTTTCTAATTATTTCACATTTTATTTAGAATATTACAATAAAAATTTTTATTTTTTTAAATAGCAAAAAAATATTAAAAATATTATTAAAGACTTATATATATTGTTTACTATTGTTATTATATGTATTTTTTATATATTATTAACTATATGTTTAGCCATTTTCTGTTTTTATATTATTTTGTTAAGAATATTATTAACAATTTACATTTATTTTTATGCTTTTAATTATTAATTTTATTTATGTTAATCATTTTTATAAGTAAGTTATATATTATATTTATTTCTTTATATAAATATTATTATTATTTATATTTTGTGTTTATATTTTCTCTACTTAAAAATTTTTAGTATTTCTTTTTCCATAAGATTCATTATTTATTTAGAAGAAGTGATAATTATCCTTAACTTATTATATTTTTTAATCGTTATAAATATTTAAATAATTTAAAAATACTTTTTATTTCATATATTTAGTATTTCTAGTCTATATAGTTAATTTTTTTTTTGAACGCCTTATTTTTTTATTTTATAATAATAATTTTTTGAAATTCTTCTTTTTTTACAATTATTATTTAACATTATCCATCTTTTAATTATTAAAGTTTCTATACCGAAATTTGTTTTTAAATATTTGATGCGTTGTTTTACTTTTTAATTTCAATTTTTTTTTTTTCCAAATTATTTTAAATATAGAATTATAATTTTTTTTAATTAAAAATAGCAAAGGTTATGAACTTTTTATTTTTTTATAAATATCAAATAAATTTAATTTAATTTTATTTATATTATTAAAAAAGTTTATTGGTTTTTTTTTTTTCAAAATAACTTTATCTAAAATATTTATTTTGTTTACTATAAAAGCCTATTTTTCTAAATTTAAAAAGAATATATATTTTTTTTTTTTTAATAAATATGATTTTATTTTTAATTATTAAATATAAACGTAATAATATTAAATATTTTTAAATTTTAATTTTAAATTATATAAACTTTTTTAAAACTATTTTAATTAATTTTTTGCTTTAAATATCAATTTTTTTATTTTTTTCTAATACATATTTATATTAGACTTTATTATTTTTTTTAACAATTTAAATTAATTTTTATTTTAATACTATTAATTATAAAAAGATATTTTTTTTTTATAAATATTATATATTAAAAATGAGTGCATTATCATTTATAATTATTTCATACATAATTTTTAGCTATTATTAAAGATAACAAATTAATTTTAAATATTTATTACAACTTAATGAATATATAATCAAAAAAAATTGTTTTATTTTAAAAGTTCTCAATATTATTATCATCAATAAAATAGAAAATTCATTTATTTTTTAAATACTTTAATATAAATATTTTTTAATTAATTCATTTATGATTAAATTTTTTGAATTTCTCATAATTTTGTTAAATCTTATACAAAAGATAAATTATGATATATATTTCTATTATTAATTATTTGGTTAAATTTATTGTCCATTTTTTTAGTTTTCATAAAAGCTATTTCCATTTATTGTATTTTTATTCAATCTTCTTTTAGTATTTTGATTATATCAATTAAATATAAAATCAAACAAACTTAGTTATTAATTACTATTTTATAATTATTTTTGATTTTTGTTTATTTTGGTTTATTAATTATCATAATCAATTAAATAATTAAAAATTTATTAAAATTATTATTTATTTATTTTAATTTTCAACTTAAGATACTTTATTTATAAATCTTATATACATAAATAATAACCTTTAAAATATTTATTTTTAATATCAATAATATAAAAATAATAAATGCTAAAAAAGTAAAATTTATGATAATAAAAGAATTAGAATGTTTAAAATTTTTTGAGCGATAAAAAAATGGAATAAATTCAAAGATTTTTATTTGTAAAAAATATATGTAATTTAAAAATATTTTATTTATTATAAATTATAAATATATTTTATTTTAAGTTTCTAATTTTTAAAATAAAAATATTAATAATATATTTTATATTAATTCAAAAAAAAAAAAAACAAAAAAAATTTATAAAAAAAAAATGGGTTAATGCAAACTATTAAATAAATCATATCAAGAAATATCAGATATTCATGATGTTCCAAATTTAGATTTTAATAGAAACTCAACATATAAAAAACTAGAATAAATTTCAAATTAAATAACAACTGGTATAAAGCTGATTTTTTTTTAAAAAAAGGAAAATTTTATAACATTTAATAAAAAATGAAATTAAAATAAAACAAATAATTTTAATAAATTTTTTTATTAAAAATATAGAAAGAGGAATTTCAAATATTTACAATGTTTTAATTTCGCGTATAGTTGCAGTTGGTTAGTTACATTTAATTGAAACTTTAAGATTAATAAACGATTAAGAATAAAAGAATAAATTTATTGAACATTTGAATTGTATTGATTATGAAACAGTTGATTCAGTAAATAAAAATATAATAAAAAATAATTTTTAATCCTTTTTAAAAAATATCCTATAAAATAGCTTTATCATTTTTTTTAAAATAAAGATGAAATTTTGGACGAGATTAGTTATGCTTAAAATATTGAAAAAATAGAAAATATAAAAAAGGAATAATACATTTAGTATTTTTAATAAGGATTATAAATGATAAAAAATAAAGAAGGTATTTAATATAATAAAAAATTATATTTACATCTAACATTATTAAATAATTTAAAGTTGCTTTAGTTATTTTAGCAGGAGGAAACAATATAAGATTTGATTAAAAGGTATAAAAGTCAACTTGTAATATTGGTTTACCTTCAAAATTAAGTGTATTTGAAATTATTGGAAAAAAATTGCAAGTATTATAAAATTTAGTATATTAAAATATTTCAACAAGCATTACAAAATGTTCTTTTTAAATAATGATAATGATAAATACTGAAAATTACTTCGAAATAAAAAAAGTTTGGAAAAACAATGACTTTTTTGGATTTGACGAAAAAGATGTTTTATTTATGACTTAATCAATGCTACCTATTATTGATATATAAGGAAAAATAATTATGAGAACAAGTATGTAATGTTATGAGTAACCTGAAGGTCCAGGAGACATAATAAAAACTATATTTTCAAACAAAGTTATTGAGAAATTGTATATATATATTTTTATTAACATTAAATTTAAATATATAATATTTATTTGCACAATTATATTATTTCGTATTTATTTTATTAAAATTAGATTAATTAAAAATTATAAATATCTTCATATTATTGGAGTTGAAAACCTTTTAGTAAAACCTTTAGATCCTTTGTTTTTGGGATATGCTAATGAAAATAAAAATGATATAAATTCGAAATGTGTTAAACTATAAGACCTTACTAATGAATTTTTCAAGCTTATTAATATAAATGGTAGATTATGTATTTTCGATTTAAATGATTTGGATAGATTACCACAAAATTAATATTAAATAATTGAAAATTCTCCTTGTTTTATGCATGATACTTTAATAAAAATAAAATTTATTCATGATATGCAAAGATAACCTTAACTAAGATTCTAATTTGCATAAAAGTAACTTTATTTCCATTTTTTTAAAATATAATAAAACAATTAAAAAAAAGATATAGAATTATGAAAAGAATATTTTCAGCAGAAAAATAATTTTCAGAAAACGAAATTAATTATAAAAATATTACTAATTCAAATCACAATAATGTCGATTGCAAAAATAATAATACTGTACTTGTCTTCGAATAATAGCTAGGTGATTTGTTTGATCTTACTGAAAGTACTTAATTACTTTAAGTATGTGAATAAGAAGAATTTGCACCTATTATATATAAAACAGGTTAATATTCTGCTGAAGATGCGGTGAGAAAAAATTCTTAATTACATAAAAAATGGTTATAATTAGATTAATCTAATCCTTAAAATATAGTTGAAATAAATCCTTATTTAAGCTATTGTGGAGAAGGTTTAGAAAATTACACCATTAAATATAAAAACCAAATTAATTAACAATTTCCTTTATATATATGTGAAGCTAATGATAATTCTTAGCTTAGTATGAAAAATAACAGTAACAATAGTAATTTAGTACAAAATGGGAATCTTCAATATTATTAAAATAAATATAATAAATCAAGTGGTCAAAATAAATTTTAAACTTCTTTTGGTAGTTAAAATTAATAGAATTAATAATAATTAAAATAACAAAATAATTGATATTAAAAAAAAATGATAAGTATTACATATATATATATTAAATTAATTATAAGCATATATATTTTAAATATTATTATATAAATTATAAAATAAAAATGATTAATAAAAATTATATATTATTTCTGTTTGTTTATTCATTTATATATATTGTGTTTACATTTTAATTTTTTTATTATTTTTATAACAACTAAACCCAAAATACCTACAATAAAAGTACAGAATTTTGATAAGTGTATAAAGGCTAATTATAAAAAATTGTTTTAGTGATTTTTTTTACATTTTTAAAAAAATAAATAAAAAAAAATTAAATCTATTCTTAATTTTTTATTTTAATAAATTAATATATAATAATTTGAATTACTTTTTAGTTTAGTATAAAATTATTAAATTTTTTTAATTTTAATTTTATATTAAAATTAAAATTTCGATTTAAATTTAAAATTTTTATCATAATTATAGTTTTTAATGCTTATTTTTAAACTTATTATAACATAACATTAAAAATCAAGAGTTCATTTTTTATTAAAAATAAATTTTTATTAATTATTATTTAAAAATTTAATTTTAGAAATATTTTTTTAATATTTGAAATAGTTTTTTTTCATTTTATTAATTTTAGTTTAAATACTAATTATTAAAATACCAATAATTTTTGAAATTTTATTTTTTAATTTATGTTTCTTCTTTTAGCTAAAAATTTATAGAGGAAATGCTACAGATAATAAAATAAATGTAGTATACTTATTAAGATATTTAAATTATAAATAAAAAAATAGAATAATATTTTGTAATATATCTATTATAAATATTTTTAAAAATTAAAATGTTTATTAAATATGATTATATTTTTTTATACTTTTGATTTTAAAATTATGATAAATTATAATTTATATTTTTTGCAATCTATTTTTAATCAATAATTTTTTTATTTCTTTCAAATAAAATTAAAAATAATAATCAAAACCAAAAATTTAAAACTTTTAGATATTCAATTAATTTAAATAGTAGTATATTAATTTTAAAGAAAAAATATTAAAAAAAAATATAAAAAATATTATTATAATATAACAATTTTTTATTATTATTTCATAAAATTAAAATTTATATAATTATTTTAAATTTTTACATATTTTTTTATATATCATATTATAAATTATTATAAAATAGAATAATAATATTCTATATTAAATTTCTATATATAAAAAGTAAATTAGTAATAAAAATAATAATATTATTAAATCTTAAATAAAATTATAATATCAACAGGATAATAAATATAGCTTATTTATTAATTTAATAATAAAAAATATTAAGTTAGATGTATATAAAAAAGTGTAATTAAAAGCATAAATATGTGTAGAATAAATTAATAATTTAATTATAAATAAATATATTTAAAAAGCAAGTGTATTTATAATAACAAAAAAATATATAGCAAAACACAAAAATAAAAAGAATTACATCAAAATAAATATTATATATATATAAATATTAAATTAAAGATATATTAAATATATTTTATCAAATAAATAATATTTTTATTAAAAAAAATTAAAAATTATAATATTAATATTAATTTAGTAAATGTAGTAAATATAATTAATAAAATTTTTAAGAAGCAATGTAAACAGAAACAAATTATTATAATAATTAAAATAGTAATTTAAATAAATCATGTTATAATATTATTAATAAATAATAAATAAATTTTGTATTATTTTAAATTATATTATAAAATTAGTAAAACTCTTTGAAAAATTATTTTAAAATTTAAAAATAAAAATATGTTTAGTAAAAATATGAGACTAAAAAGTAAAACTTTAAAAAAAACAACAATATAAAATAAAATATAAAAACATAAAAATAAAATAAAAAAAAAATAGAAATGTTAAAAAAAAAAATATAAATATAAATATATATATATTTAAACAAAATAAACAAATAATTGTAAAAATAAAAATATATTAAAAAGAAAAAAAAATTGAATAAAATAATTAAATACTAAATATAAATAAAAATAATATAAAATATTTAAATAAAATATAATGAAAAATTATATATATATAAAAAAAAAAAACTAAATTATATTATTAAAAAAAATTATGAAAATAATCAAAAAAATTAAATATCAAAAATTAATTATTATTAAAAAAAAATTTAAAAATTTTTTATAAAAATTAAAAATAAAATATATATAAATATAAATATATATAAAAATATAAATATAAATATAATATATAAATATAAATATAAATATAAATATAAAAAATTATTATTTTTATTATTATTATTATTATTATTATTATTATTTTTTCATTATTATTTATTTTTTTATTATTTTATTAATAATATATATATTTAATATTTTTTTTAATATTAAATTTTTATTAATAATATGGATTTTATTTTTGAACTAGCAAGAAAATAAGGTTAAAAAGCATTTAGAAAAAGATTAGGAGTTTATTCATATAAGCTTAAATATGACGGTTATTTTAAAAAACCTGGTTTAATTAATCTATAAACAAAAGAATAATTTAAAAAGGTTTAGAATTTTTTAAATTAAAATTTTTTATAAATAAAAACATGAATATTATCTTTAATATTAAAAATATTATATTTTAAATTTATAATAATAAACAGTAAGGGTTAAAAGGTCGCCATAAAATACATTAATTAGAATAAAACTCTGATAGATTATATGGACGTTTTACTTCATTAGGTTATTTAATTTAATTTAATTTAATTAATTTTAGTTTTTCTTATATAATTTTTAATTAGGAAGATTTTTAGTTGATAAAAACAGAATTCCATTCTTAGATATTCCAAATTTGGAAGAATTTTAAGTTTATTATTAATAATATATAATTTTAAAATATTTATAAATTTTAATTTATTATAATATAAAAGTTAAAACCTTATGTATCAGTTCATACTCCAAATGTCGAATAATCTGATCTTTAAAAAATTAAAGATTTAAATGACTTTAGAAATCCAAATAACTTTGGAAGATATAATTTAGAAAATTAATATTAATAATAAAAAATAATAATAATAATAATAATAATAAAATAATAATAATTTTAATAATAATAATGATATTTGATATATAAAAATTTAATATTTTATAATATAATGATATTTAAATTTAATTTTTTTTTTTTTTTATACATAAGATTTATAAATTTGATGAATTTTTTATTATTTTATATTAATTATTAAGATATATTTACATTTTCTTCTTTATATTTGCAAAAAAACATAAGAAAAGTAAATAAAAATAAGAAAATAGTGTTTTTTAATATATAGAAAGAGAAAAAATCAAGAAATAAATAAGATTTATAAATATTAAATATTTTTTTTATTTTATTAAAATTAAAAATAAATATATAAATAAAAAAATAAAAGAAAAATAATAAATAAAAAAATTAAAAATAAAATGTAAAGAAAAACAGCTTTAGAAGAGATAGCAGAAAAAGAATCATCATTCGGAAAAGTATATAAAGTAGCCGGTCCTTTAGTCGTAGCAGAACAAATGACAGGTGCAAAGATGTACGAATTAGTTAAAGTAGGTTGGAACAAGTTAGTAGGAGAAATTATTAAATTAGATGGAGATACAGCTTCAATATAATGCTATGAAGATACTTATGGATTAACAGTAGGAGATCCAGTTATGAGAACAAAAGAACCCTTATCAGTTGAATTAGGTCCAGGAATATTAACTGAGATATTTGATGGGATTCAAAGACCTTTATAAGTAATAGCAGATGTATCTTAAAGTGTATTTATCCCAAGAGGAGCTGATGTACCAGCTTTAGATAGTAAGAAGCTTTGGCATTTTGTTCCAAATAATTAGGTAAGGGTTGGTTCTAAAATAACTGGAGGAGATATTTATGGAACTTGCCATGAAAATAATCTGTTTACAGAACATAGAATTATGGTTCCTCCAGGAAACAAAGGTACAGTATCTTTTATTGCACCAGAAGGTGATTATAATATTCATGAAATAATTTTAGAAACCGAATATGATGGTAAAAAATCAAAATTCTGCATGTCTCATTTTTGGCCTGTAAGAAAGCCTAGACCTGTTCAAGAAAAATTAGCAGGAAATACTCCTCTTTTGACGGGATAAAGAGTTTTGGACAGTCTTTTCCCTTCTGTTTTGGGAGGTACATGTGCCATTCCCGGAGCTTTTGGTTGCGGAAAAACAATGTATTTCTTAAGCCTTGTCTAAATATTCGAATTCAGAAGTCATTATTTATGTAGGATGTGGAGAAAGAGGTAATGAAATGGCTGAAGTACTTAGTGAATTCCCTGAATTAACAACAGTTGTTAAAGGAAAAGAAGAGTCTATTATGTAAAGAACATGTTTAGTTGCAAATACTTCCAATATGCCTGTCGCAGCTAGAGAAGCTTCAATTTATACAGGAATTACCCTTGCAGAATATTTCAGAGATATGGGTTATAATGTAAGTATGATGGCTGATTCAACGTCACGTTGGGCTGAAGCTTTAAGAGAAATTTCCGGTCGTTTAGCTTAAATGCCTGCAGATGCAGGTTATCCTGCTTATTTAGCAAATAAACTTGCTTATTTCTATGAAAGAGCTGGAAGAGTTAGATGTTATGGAAGTCCTGATAGAGAAGGTTCAATCTCTATAGTAGGAGCTGTGTCTCCGCCTGGTGGTGATTTTACAGATCCAGTTACTGTAGCTACATTATCTATAGCATAGGTATTTTGGGGTATAGATAAAAAATTGGCTTAAAGAAAACATTTCCCCAGTGTTAATTGGAATATCTCAACTTCTAATTATGAAAGATAACTTGATCCCTATTTTAGTGATTTTGATCCTGAATTTTCATATTGAGAACATAACTTAAAGAAATTTTACATGAAGAAGCTGAACTTAATGAAATTGTATAATTGGTAGGTAGAGATTCACTTTCTGAAGATTAAAATTATCACTTGAAATTGCTAAAATTATTAGAGAAGATTTCCTTTAATAAGATGCGTTTTCTACTTATGATTATATGTGTCCTTTATACAAAACTGCTGGTATGATGAGATGTATTGTTACTTATTACGACCTTGCAAGAAAAGCTATTATTGAATCTTCTGGAGAAACTAAACTTAATTGGAATTACATCTAACTTGAAACTAAATCTTTATTTACTTAACTCACTTAAATGAAATTTTTGAGCCCTAAATTAAGCAGATAAGAAATTGCTTAATATGTCAATAAATTTGTTGAAGATTCAAATATTGCTTTTAGAAAAATGACTGATAATTGATTTATTGCTATTTTTTATTTTATTTTTTTATAAATTTTATTAATATCTTTTCTTTTACATTTAAAAATTCAAAATAAAAAATGATTATAATAATTGCAATATTTATTTATATTATTTCTTACTTTATTTAAAAATAATATTATTGGATAATATAAAATATTATATAGTATAATATAGTTAATATTTGGATATAAAAATAAATATATTTTTAGTATTAAAAAGTTTTTATTATAAATTATTTTCTCTCAATTTTATAATAAAAATTATATTTAAAAATAAAAATGAAAGAAATAATTAATTGTTAAATTTGTAATTAAAATTAATAAAAATATAAATGTCCTAAATGCCTTACATTATAGTAATAAAATTTAAAAATTAAATTTAATGGTATAAAATAAAAAGTTGCAATTCAGTTTGTTTTAAAACACATAATTGTTAACCTATAAAAAAGCAAAATGATTTATAGTAAAGCGAAGAGGCTTAAATATAACATAAATAAAATTATGTAGAGGATGAAGAGTTAAGGGTACCATTAGTAAAATTACAAATGTTATGTAAATAAATAATTTTATATATATTAATAGTATTTTTAAATACTTTTATTAGAAAAAGTTAAAAAATTAGAAAAATATTAGAGTCCTAAAAATTAAGAGAAACCTTAAAAAAAATTGATAATGCAAAAAGTCGCTTATGGGAATTAAATAATGAATTAAAATATAATAAGCATTTTTCAGACTTTACTGAATTAATTTTAAGTGAAATGGAAATGTTGGATGATAACAAAGAATTAATATGAAATTAAACTTTAAAAAAAAAATCATAAGTTATAATTAATTTAGTATATATAAAATAAATAAACTTATTTTTTTATACTGTAATTTATATTAAAATCAATAATTACCAATGATATTTTAAAAAAATTAATTTCAATAATAAATAATATATTTATATTAGCATTTAATTTTATTATTAATTTATATCTAATAATTTCTTCGTTATTTGTATTTTTTGTATTATTAATGTAAAAAAAATCAGTAAATAAATTTTAATTAATGTTTTTTTTTTCATTCTAACAAAAGTTTAAGAAATCTAATAAAATACTTTTAAATACAAGGACATTAATTTAAAAAAAATAGCAAATAGTTAAAAGTTAAATTGAATATTAAAAAAATTATTATTTATTTTTATTAAAGTAATATTAATATATATTTTTCAATATAAATTTAAAAAATGTAAATAAATTAAATTGTTTTTTTTTTAAATTATAACTAATATAAATTTTATATTATATATACATATATAATATTTAAAAATTTTAGTATTACTTTAATTAATTAGAGATATATAAAATATTATGTTATTTGATATATTTTAAATTGATTATTATAAATAAACTAATTTTTATTTTATAAAAAAACGAATTTTTTTAATAAACTTTAAAACTAATTTCATAAATTATTATTTTAAAAATAATTTATTTAATTTTTATTTTTTAATAAATTAAATGAAATCTTTAAATATATGTTATAATTATATTATTTTATTTAAAATAGAATATCATTTTAATGGATTATATATTTTTAAAAATGCCATGATATTAATTTTATAAGGCTTTTTTAATAAATTGTAGTGATTTTTTATTAATAAAATGTTAATATTATAAAATTCAAATTTTTTATTTAATTTTATTAATGCAAATTTTTTTATGTTACCTATATATTTTAATTATTTAAATTTTATTTTTGTTTTAAAATAATAATAATAAAAAAAAAAGACACAAGTAAAAAAATAAAATAAATCGAAACAATAAAAACTTTTTAAAAATACATATATAAATATACAAATAAATAAAAAAAATATTAATACAATATAAAAAATGGAAGAATATGAGAGTTATTCATTTAATAAAATATAAAATAATATTCAACAATGTCTTAAAATAACAAATAATGAATATATTCCTAACTACAATACACAAAGATTTATAAAGCAAATAGAATATTTATTATAAAGAAATATGCTATAAGATGCTTTGCAATAATTTGTAGATTTTTTTTATACTAATAGTAATTTCCACACAAAATTTGAAGATAGAAACATATTATTTAAACATTCAACAACCCTAATATCTTATTTATTAAGTGGTAAAATAATCCGTAATTAATCAGAAACACAAATAAATACATTATAAAATTGTTGTGAGTAAATAATAAATTAAAATTAAATGTTTTTGATGACATTAAATGAGAAAAACTTATGTCTATAAATAGAAAATATAATATTTAAATAAAGGGTAATATATTTAAATAATTTTGCAATACTAAATTTAAAATAATAAAATTATTCAGTAGTATTTGAAGCATTTAAAACTCTATTAAAAATTTTCTAAAGTGAAAAAGGACAAAATCTATTTCCTTGTATATTAAATAATATAGCTATTATTTAAATTTTAATAGATGAAACAAACATAGCAGAAAATATTCTTGCTAAAAGCATAGAAATGGGTGAATAGAGAGTTTTTCCTTTTGTAAAAAATATAGGAAAATTTTTTTATAATAATAATATAAATGTTATTTAGTTTGAATAAGATTTAACAGTTCTTATATATAGTTATATTTATGCCGAGTTATTAAAAATATAAAAGAACAGAATTTAAGTTAATAATAATAATAATGAATTTTTAGTAAAAAATAATTTCCTTAAAAATGCTTATAATATTAGTAAAAAATTTTTTGGTGAAGAAAGCGCTTTTTCGAAAAAAATAATTAAAATTTAATAAGATATTTTATCAATTTAATCTAAAAATAATTTCGAGTTTACATAAAATTTTTAAAATGTTATAAAAGATATTCTTTTTTAATTTGATATGGAATAAATTTCGTAATTTAAGTAGTTTATCTAATTTAAAAAAATACAGTGAATAAAATTTTTAATATTTCTAATAGCTCAAAACAAAGTATTAGAATATAAACTGAGTCTTTAAATATTAAAAATTATAATTCTGAAACATCAGAAAGATAAAAAACAGGAAACTATTATATAAAGAAAAGACTATTTAAAAAAAAAGAAGAATAAGAAAATAAACAATATAAAAAACAATTACTTGAAGGCGAGATAAATAAATTGAAAGTATAAAATAAATATCTATATATAATTATTTTATTTTTTAATTTGAATATAAATAAAAATAGAGTATTGAATAAAATGTAATGTCAATGCTCAAAAACATTAATACAATAAATAGCTAAATAAAAGAAGAGAAATAAAAAAATAATTAGGATGTATCTTCTTTGACATAAACAATAAACCATTTATTAGAATACTAAAAAAATTCATATGTAAGCATCTAAAAGTAATAAACTTAATAAATAGAAAATTAAATAAAATCAATTCTAGAAGTATCAAATAATATGAATTAAAGCAAAATTGAAGAAGTTAAATAAGTTAAAAAACTAGAAATAAAAAGAACAAATACTATTACAAATCAATTTAATACAATAAAAAACAATAATTTATAATCTAATTTTATCACTATAAAATAAGAAAAATTCAGTAAAGATATTTCTTATACATTAAATTTTATCTTAAATATATAAAATGACAAATAGACATGTAAAATAAAAGTTTTATAGTAAGATAAAGAATTAGCGTAAGAAGCATTAAACATATAGTCATTTTAAATTTTTCTTTCATAAATAAATTATTAATAAATACTTCCTGTTACTTTTTCTGTAGGAATGTGCGAAAATTTATATTATTTCGTTCGTTATTTTATAATTCCTTTTGTTTAGATAAACAATTAATAAGAAGAAAAAATTATTAAACTTATATAAAATCCAATAGGGCTACTAAATAAAGTATATGAAAAAATTGTTTTTGGAATAAAATTCAATATTTTTTTCCATCATATAGAAGGCAATTGGTTTCGATTAATTTTGTGGAAATAATAAAATTAATATTTAAAAATAGATATTGAAATGGATATTGGTAGCTTAAAGAAATTTTTTGATATAAAAGAATATAAGAATTAAGGAGAATACCTTTAAGATGAGATAAATACTTTTATGGAAATAACCGAGGAAAACAATACACTTAAAAATATGAAATAGTAATAAAAAGAAATGGTCCCAAGAAATTTAAATGAAAAAATAATAAATTCATTTAAATAAAACATTAATAATAGCAAAAAATAATATTAATTAAAAAGCTTTAAAATTTTAAATGAATAAAATTTGATGGGAACTCTACTTACTTTTGTTGATGAAATATAAGAATTATTTGATGAAAAAAAATATAATTTAAAAATCTAATTTAAAGTGTTTATTTTATAAAAGTGAAAATATGGTCTATTGCTTAAAAAAAGCAAATATAATTTTCTTTAGATGATGAATAAAATAAAAACGTACAAATTATTCTCAAAAATATATATACTACTTTTGCGCCTGGAGGAGAGAAAATAAAAGCTTAAGGACTAACTACATTTTCTTATGAATAAATATAAAATTTTTATAGTTTAGAATTTGATTAAATTAATTTTGATGAAAAGCAAATTATTTGTAGTCAATTAGTTGAATATTTTACTCTCTCTGTCCATGAAAAAAATGATGAAAATTTACAAAAATAACCAAAAATTTCAAAATCTTAACTTCCTAACCCTATTATTAAATAACCTAAAGTCACAGGAAGTTTCGGAAGGAAATTATATAAAATAAACGGCTTTTTTCTACCTATCACTTATGAAATTGTTGGCTGTGCAAATAAAATGCTGGGGGTTAAAGTAGGATTATATAATACAAAAAATTGCAAAGAATTCGGATTTTTTTTAACTGCTGATGACTTTGGTTGGATATTCGAAAATAAAGTACTAATATAAAACTCTTATCATATGTATTTAGAAGGATTACCCTTAAGCTAATATTTTTTACCACATATTTTTGATTTAATATGTATTCCATTAATTGAAAGGAATTATAATATTTGCTAAAAAGGTGATTATTTTAGTATTGAGTTAAAAAGTGAGAATAATGTAAAAAAATATATATAAAGAATTGAAAATATAGTTTCAGTCGAAAAGGCTATAGAAAATTATAAATATATTTTAAAGTAATTAAAATGACTTTTGTTTAAATAATATTTTTTTATAAGCAAAAAAATTCTTATTAAATTATTTTATTTTTAAATAGTTTTATTTAATTAAATTATTTATATATAAATTAAATAAATATTTATTTTAAGTTTGTAATAATAAATATTTATATTTTTAAAAATTTATTTCATTATTTACATTTATTTTTAATTTTATAAAAAATTTTTGAAGTCATTAAATATTTTTTTTATTTAAAAAAAAAAATTAAATTATATAATTTTAGAATATAAAAATATATTAAAAATTGTTAAAAAATATTACAAAAAATTACAAAATAGTTATAAGATATATTAGAAAAAATATTATAATATTAATAAAAATTTTAGAAAATAATTCAATATTATAATTAATTATTTTATTTTTCTTCTTAAGTTATATACCCTTTTTTTTTTTTTTTTTTTAATAATTTATTATAGATTTTTTCTATTTCATCTTTTCCTTTATTGGTAGTATCATGCATAATAAACTATAAAACAACAATTAAAATAGAAGTAATTATAGCAAAAGTTAACATTGAATATTCAACACCAAAATAATCTTACATATATGGATAAGTGAAAACAGAAGTTAAACTAATTAACCAATAAGCAAAACAAAAAAAGCCAATACCAATAGGAGGTAAAATTTCACTTGGGAAAGCTTTTTTTTAAATAATTAATAATTTATAAAATACTATATATTTTTTTTTACTCCAATGAACTGGGCTTGAGGACATTCCTAGTATAAATTTATATGCTAAAATCATATATTTTTGTAGATAAGTAAGTTAAATCCATCCAAAAATAGAAAAAAGAATTAAAAAAACTGAAGAAAAAAATAATCCTAATATATAAAGTCTTTTCCTACCAAGCCTATTTATAAGAATAATAGCTATAAAAGGTCCAACAATATCTCCTATTGGTATAATAGAAGTGAATAGTTATGCGATTTCCTGATTCTAATTAATTTTAATAATACTATATGAATAAATACTAATAATATTAGTTCCAGAATAACAAAAAGCCATAGTAAAGAAAATAATAAGAATGGTTCTATGTAAATATCTAGGTCTAAACAAATCTCTATATCCAATTAATTTTTAAAACTTATAATATTATTATTAATATAAAAGCAAATCTTCAAATTCCTCCTTTGCAATTTTATTTTGATATAGACTATATATAGTTTCTTTTGCTTTGTTAGAATCATTTTTTGTTATCATATAATATTATGGAGTTTCATTTTTAAAAATTATATGAAATATTAAATTGCTTACAAAGCTTAATATCATAGGTAAACCAATAATTACTTTCCAAAATTAATTATTGCTTTTTATTCCATAATTTAATACAAATGAAATCATCATACCTATTCCGAATTATAAAGAATATATAATTCCTGATATTCCTTTATATTTTTTGCATGCAACTTCTATTGAATATAAAGGAGCAATAGAACTCCACACACCTAAGCAAAGTCCAATTATTATTCTTCCTTTTTTAATATATAAACTTTTATAATAATATTATTTAAATTTACCAAATATTAATGCATATGTTTTTTATATTAATATTATACCTGTGGCGATTATAGCTAAATAATTAAATATTATTAACAATCTTCTTCTCCCATATTTCTATGCCCAATTTCCCGCAAACAAAGAAATTATTGCTGCAATTGCTTATGGTAATGAATTAATTAGAGAATAATATAATTTTTTTTCGTTTTTGTCCCAATCATATATGATTTATATATTCCCAAATAAAATATTAAATAAACCTATATTATATGATATTATAAAATTGAAAAATCCTCCATGAATTATTATAAACCAAAACATGAAAGGTCTTTTAAAGTATTCATGCTTGTTATTATTATTAAACTTTTTATATATTTTTTTAAATATTTTTTATAGATAAATATTAATTATTTACATTTAATGTATTATTGCATATTTATTATAATTACGGATCTATATCTGGCTCATTGTTTTAACTATTATTATTATTTTAAGTCTTCATTATTTAAAATTATATATAACTTGATTATATAATTTTTTTAATTATATTTATTTATGTTTTTAAAAAAGTACTGGGCAAAATTATTTATGTATGGTAAAATTAATTAAAAAAAATTTTAAATAATTTTTGTTTCTAATAATTAAACATTTAATATAATTTTTTTATTTTAAAATATAGATATTGTTTACCATTTATAGTTTCTATATATAATATAAAAACTATTAAGAAATAAATTTTTAATTAAATTATGTTTTTAAAAATTATAAATAGCATATATATAAGCTCTTACTTTATTTAAGCTTTGGTTAAATCCATTAAAAATTAAGTATTAAACAATATCCAAAATAACTCATGAAACTGATAAATATAATACATTTATAAAATTTTATCGCAAAATAAATTATATAATCATTATAAAATTAAATATTTAATATTTTTAAATTATATAAAAAAAACAGCTAAATAAATATAAAAGAAAATATATATCATAATTATATACAGATAGTTATATAAATTAAAAAAATTTATATTTATTAAATAAAATATATTAATTTTTATATAAAATGAATTTTTATGAATCATAATAATGACTATTAAAATGAGTTTTTTTAAGCATACATCTATAAAGTTACGATAAAAATATAAAAAAATATGTAATTATTGCTAAATTTTTATAAAATATTTTATGCTTTTTTTATATTTGCTTAAAATTAATTAAATAATTTTTTACAACCTTTAAAATCTTTTTTATTTAATAATTACTTTAATTATTCAGTATTATTTAAAATTAAATCTTTATTTATTTTTAAATATTTTTATATTTATTTAATATTTTTTTAAATTTATGATTAACTAATTTTTATAATAACTATTCTTTAATTTTATAAATTAAATTTATATTTTATTCATAATATTAAAAGTTTTATATTTACTTTTTTAAACATTTATTTATATATATAAAATAAACTAAATTTAACTAAACTAAACTAAATTAAAATAAACTAAACTAAAATAAACTAAATAGAATTTTTAATTTTATTTATTTTTATAAACTTAATTAAAAAATTGATTTTAGAAATTTACTTTTTAAAATTAATTTAATTGTTTTTATTGAAAATAAATTTTCTAAATTTAATAATTATGTGTATATTTATAATATGAAAAAATAATAAAAATATTTTAAATTATAAAATGATTAATTTAAAAAAAAAATGTAAAACATTTGTTGTTTGTTTAATTAAATATATAAAAAGTATTACATAAAAAATAAAAAGTAATACATCATTTTATTTTTATATTTTTGCCATAATATTTTTATGAATATTATATGTTTATAATTTTTTTTTCAAGTAAAATTATATGATTTATCTTATCTATATTTAAGAAATTATTTTGATAATATAATTAGCTTTTCTTTAAAAGCTTTTTTTTAAAAAATAATGTAATTTAATAAATTAAATAATATTAAATAGATCAAAATTAAATTAAATATTAAGAAAACTATCTCATGAATGAAATTCGAATATATTTTATTAAAACAATATTAGAAATAAGTTATGATGAAGTTTAAGATAAAAACAAAATCAAAAAAATCTATTTATCTCCTGGTCTTACAAATATAAAATTATTAAATTATTTAATTTAAGATTTATTTGATATTTAGGTTAAACATATAAGCAACAAGCTTTAAAAATTAATTTTAATTTAAGAATTCAAATTATTATTAACAAAAGTAAAAGCTTAAAGTAAAAACTCATAACTAAGAATGATATATATTCATAAAATAAATCAATACATATATTTAAATACATTAAGGTTATGTTAATTAGTGATAATTTTGATAGTTAGGCACCTAAAAAGGTGAAATATAAATATAAGCATATAATGAAATTAATTTATCAAAAATAAATGAACTTATTTACAGCTTTTGGAAAATGAGAAGATTAGTAAAATTTTAATCCTTAATGAGTTAGGATTAATGATATAGATTGGGTTATTAACATAAACTTTATAGTCTATTTTCAATAATACAGGTTTGAGTTTTAACTCAAACAAAAATTAAGGAATAAGTTTGTTTATTTACTAGTAGATCATAAATTTAAAGAAGAGATATAAAAAAAATTAATTAAATACATATTAATTCATTTGGTTATTATAAAAAAAGAAAGCACTGTTAATCAAATCAATATAAAATAAGAAATTACCAAAAAAAAAAAGTAATAATTTAAATAGCAATAACGATTCATCATTTATATAAAATTAAATTTTTTGTACCTTTTTTTGGAATTTAAATGACGAAGAAAATTTACCTTCAAACAAATATAAATAATTAGTATAAATGTTTAAAATTATTTATTTTTGATGATATTTAATTTAATATTTCGGCTTTCAAAAGTTATTTAGATAAATTTAATGTAAAATTTATTTTTACAATTAATTAGGAATAATGATTTGAAAAAATAAAAATAAATTTGTAGACCACTTTTTTAATAAATTATTTTTATGGATATCCGAATGCTTTATATGATGGGTCATAAACGATTAAAAAATTTAAATTAATCCTTAATTTCTATTGCAAAATACTCTGGTTATGGAGTAAGCGCGTTAGAATTTCAAAGTTATATTTAGGTTGGAACGAATGATTATTTAATTAAACTTATTGGTATATAAAAATTTTAAAATGCTTTGTAAAAATATCTTTAAAAACTAATTGACATTTTTGCATATATTTAAAACTAATTATATTTTATTAATTGCTGATTTATTTTATTTAATTTTTTGAAAAAAAAGAAAGAAATTTTTAGGTTATTTATGTACATATTTTATACATTCCTAATAAAAAATAATAAATTAACAAATTAATATATTCTTTATCAAATTTAATGTTAAAAACATTTATACATATTTTTTTTTTTAAGTTAAAATTTTATTAAAGAGAAGACTCATTTTTTTCGTTTAAATACAAATAACGAAAATTTTTTAACAAAAACAATAAAAACTGCTTTTTGAGATAAATAATTTAATTTATATAAGACAAAAAAATTATTTTATTTATTATTTTTTTAAAAAAAGTAAACACTTGCTCATATTTATAATATTTTCTTAAACGAAAAATTCATTTTTATCCAGATTTAAAAGTGGTAGCAAAGCCATGAAATCTAAGCTAGCCATTTAATAAATTTTATTAATTGAAGTTTTGACCTGCTGTATTATTAGCTTTTATATTAAACATAGGTTTGTTTACACTTCTTTATAAAATTGAATCTAAAACTTCTTTTTCAGATTATATAACATTACTTGGGTCATAAATTGAGGGGTCGAAATTGCTTCCATATTCCTGAATATTATATTATTTTATCATTTTCATATATGCTTCATCACTTGTTTATGTATCAGTTTCTAGTGGTTTAAATTTTGAATCATAATATATAGAATTGTCTTTTACTTTTTCTGCTTCACCTATGTAATATTTTATTTTTATTGGAATATTTTCATCACTTTACATATATTTTTCTTCTGGCAATGTCTTTAAAGCTTCTAATAAATTTTACTTTTCTTATGTAAGTGTTTCTTCATCTGGAATGTTGAATAATTAATTTGTAGTATATTTTTATTCTTTATCCATTTTTTATATATGTGTATTTTTTTAACGAGGTATAATTAATATTTTTCTTTGATATTTATTGTGTATTTATTATTTTTTTAAAACAATTTTATAAAAAAATTATTTAAATTGTAAAAAATAAATTATATAATATAATTTTTAGAAAATGAATGAAAAGTAAATGAGCTAAAAAATAAATCTTATTTTAAATCCAAAATTTTTAGGATTTTAAATAGATTAAAATGATAATTAAATTAAGTATGATAATGTAATTTTATATTAAATTAATATAAACAATAAAATTATTTTTTAATTTAATAGGAAATATAAAAAGATATTAATTCATTAAATGATTTAGCAATTAAAATAAAAGGTCTGAACATATAAATCAAACAATTTATTTATTTTATTTAAATAAAAAAATATATATAGAAAAGTTAAAATAAAATATTCCTCTAAAAAGCTAATTACAAGGTAAGATTCTTAAAAAAAAAAAAAAAAATCGCAATATTTAATTAAACAAAAAGTCAACCAAGAGTTATAAAAAGATTTTATAATAAACTTAGAATAGGTATTAATTAAAATATTTTATATTAAAAATTTAAATTTATTCTGTTTTTTAAAGTTAAAAAAATAATTTTCGTTTTAAGGTGTAGATAATCTAATGAAAAATCTTCATTTATTTGATCCCAAACTAGCTTAAATAAAATATGAATTATAATAGCAATTATAATAAAAACATATTATTAATTTTTTTAATTAAAGTTAAGAAATAAAATTAGAAAATAACAAAGAATCTAATCATAATATTAATAAAGAAAAAAAAAAAAAAGTATAGTTAAAATGTATAACTTTGTTTAGACATATTTCAGAAAAGTTAGAAATTAATTTTTTTATTAAAATAATTATTTAAATATTTTTATAAGGATGGGAAAATGAAATTTAGCAATTAGAAAACTAAAGTTTAATAAATATTTAAGAATGAGATAATTATATATTTTAATTTTATTATATTTTTATAAAATTTATATCTAAACTATAAATTAAAATATGTTTAGATTCTTAATAAAAATTATGTAATAATTTAAAATCTATTCTTAGATAATATTTTTTTATGATTTTGATAATCAATTTAATTAAAAAATGAATCAATATATTATTATATATATTCAAATTAATTAATTTTTAATAATGATAGTAATAAATTAATATATGTGCAATTATTTAAATAAAATAAAACTTATAAATATGACCTTAAAAAAGAAATAATTAAAATTTTTTATTTATTTATAAACAAAAATTAAATATTTATTTATTATAATTTACTAAAAAAATTTATAAAAAATAAATTGATAAATATTATATTATTATTATATTTTTTTATTTAAATCACTTTTAATGATATTTTTTTATATTAAGAATCTAATCATTAACAATTTTTTCATAAATAACATTAATTTAAGATTATTTTATGTTTTTTTTTTAATTAATATTACTTCTTTCAGTTAAATTTTATATTTATTATTATTATTTTTATTATTAATTTGTTCTTTAAGTCCAAAATCCATATTAATTATCAGCATTATCTGAATTTTATTTATAAATTTTACTTATATTTAATTTGATATCACTTTATTAAAAATTATTTGATGAATTAATACCATTTATTTTCCCAGATAATTTCGATAGATTTTCAGAATTTTATTATTTTTTATGATTAATGTTTGAAAAAACTGGTGATTTAACTTTACATTAATTTATTTATTAAGAAGGATATTAAAAATTTTTGTTAAATAATTTTTTACTAATAATTTATTTTGTTTAATCATAATAACTTTATTATTTTTCATATTATTTTTTGCAGTTACCAGAACAAATTTATTATTAATTAGTAATTTTACTAACAATATTTGAATTTATAATATAAGATTATTTTGTGAAAGCTTATTATTATAACTTTATTTATGCTTTTTATTATTAGTGGTTTATATTATGGTTTAGAATAATCTTATTGTTGTCGTTGTTTTTCTTCTTTTTTTAAACCTTTATTTAATTCATATTAAAATGTTTAAAAAATTTTAATTTAAAGTCATCGTTAGCATTTGCTTTTTTAAGAATACTGGAATTTCTTTAAAAATTAGAATTATTTATTTATTCTGGCGAGTTTAAATAATTATTTTTAGAGTTTATAAAATTTTTATTTTTACTTTATTTTTTATTATTTAATATTTGAGTTTAATTTTTTATAATTTCATTTAAGTTTCCTTTTTAGCTAGTTATCATGATATTTTAATGTGCTTTTGTGTCGTTGCTTTTATATTCTTTTAATTAATATGTAAGTTTATCTAAATTTAACTAAATGTTATGTTTACTTTAAATTTTTCCTTCTTTTATATGCTAAATTTAACCATTTTATATAATAACAGTATTTTTTTATTTCTGAAAATTTGATTAAGTTGGTCTAGGATTAAAATCTCTATCTGTCCATATTCTATCAGGAGATTCAGTTATTTTATTTATTTATTCAAGATTGAGTTTTGTCTTAAATAGGTTTTCTATATTTTCTTTATTTTCTTATTTAATATTTTTTGTAATATTATTTATATTTATTTTTTTATCATTTACTATATAATCTAATTTTTTATTTGAAATATTATTATTATTTTAAATTGAGTCTTTAATTTTATCAATTAATATTTAAGATGAAATTCCGTATTATTATTATTATTATTATTATTATTATTATTAATAAATTTATTTTTATTCTTGAATTTTTAAATTTTTCAATTCCTCTTAATTATTTTTTTCATTCAAATTTTATATATAAATATTAAGATAATTTGGTAAATTTTCATCTATTTCTTTAGAAAACACAATTTATTATATTTTATTTAAGTTTTAACTTGCTTCATTTTATCCGATTTCCTTTAAATTATTTTTCTTATTAGAATTAATTACATTATTTTTTCTTATACAAATATTTGGATTATTTAAAAGTAAGCTTTCTTCAATATCAAAATATGAAGCATTATATAATTATTATTATACTGTTAAATCATCATTTCTATCTAAAAAACTTTATTTAGGTTTATAAACATCATGAACTTCTGAATCATAACTATTATCTATTTTTCCTGTAGTATTTTTATTTAATAGTTTATCATTACTATTTGATATATCTTTTTTATTTATTTAAAGAGAAGTTGAACATGATGAAGATGAAGAAATTTATAAATGACAATTTAAAATGAAATCTTTTTCTTACATATTTTCTATGTTCTATATTTTAAGTTTATTTTAACTTTTTTCTTAATTTTAAATAAATATTTTGGCATGTTTGTAATTTCGTTTATTTATTATTTCATGAGATGATATTATACATAAATTTGGGCGTGTTTGTTTATATTATTTATTATAAAAGTCAAATAATAATTATAAACGGGGACCTGTTTCACTTTATTTGTAAAATCTTTTCAAATATCCAGTGTCATCGTCATAAAATAAATAATCTTTAAAAAGAATTACATGAGATATACTTATATTGGCTAATATTTCTTTTATTCCTTTGGCAAAATAAAAATTAAATTCGTCAAAATATATGTTGTGAAGTCTTTGTTACATTTATTTTTAAATGTTTATTTTATTTATGCATATTAAACAATTCATTATGTTTATTTTAAATTAAATTTTTTATGTATCTTATTCGTTTTCTAATATTTGTTTATTTGTTAAACTATTTATTTCCTGTCCTTTTTATTAAATATATATATTTTGTTTTTTTTTAATTATTTATTCGGAATTTATCTTTTTTTTTGATTTTTTTAAATACTTTTTTCATAACAACTATTACTTCTTTTATTCATATTTTTTAAATTTTTTTTTTAAATAATATATTAAAAAAAATGTTATAATTAAAAATATTATAGAAACATAGTAAATAAAAATCGGTATTTAAAGAAAAAAAAAAATCTTTTAAACAATTAAAAAAAATGAATAATTTAATTATAAATAATAAATATGAATTTAAATATGATTGATATATTTTAATTAATTTGTATTGTAAAATAAAAAAATAAAAAATAAAAATATAATCAAATTGAAAAAATAATAAATATATAATTATAAACATTTTTTATAATCAAAATAATATATATAATAAAAAAATAGTTTTAAAAAATAAAATTTAATTTAAATAGAATTAAAAATTATATTATATTCAAATATATTAAAAGTGTTTATTTCTTATTAAATATGTTTTATTTTTTTTGCTTCTAAAATTATTTTATTTTATTTTCTTAATAACATTTGTAAAATTATTATTTTTAAAATAAAATTTAAATTCTTTAAGTATATCAAAATCATAAATAAAAAGCCAATCACAAAAATCTGGCTAAGAGTTAAGAAGTACCATTTTATTTTTCCTTTTAAAATTTTAATTATTATTAATATCATTTTCATTTTTTTTATTAATATATTCTTATAATATTTAGATAATATTTTCTTCGTTAACTCCTTTTGTTTAGTTTTCTTTTATTTTTTTTATTGAATCATCATTTAAATTATCATCTAATAAGGCATCTTAAAATGTATTCATATGTTAATAAGATTACCTTCTAAATCTTAATTTTGTATTTTTTTTTTGTATGAGTTTTATTTTTCTAATTAAAAAAAGTTTCTTATTGATTATGTATTCTTTTTTTATTCGCAGAAATTATTAATGTTTATATTACTCTTTATTTTTTTATAAAAAGGAGAATCCAAGTCGAAATTAAGAAGATTTTATTCATCATTTTTATTATCTTCGAATTATTAAAAACTTATTATATTTGATGATTAGCATTTAGGAGATATTTCTATTGAATTTGTAAATTATTTTAATAGTCGCCTAAGCTCAGTCTTTGGTTTTATAGATTTAGTAATTTATTCAGTTTCATCATGATCTTCTTCTTCAATACTGATAAGTTTATTATTTTCAATTGGCTGATATTCTTCTAATTAAGAAGTATAATCAGAATCTTCATAATTTTCAGAATATAAAGAAGAAAAATTAGATAAGCTTTGTTATTAGTTTGATTCTATTTTTCCATCTAATTATTTTATTTTAAAAGTATTTTTGAAGAATTATCTATCATTGAGTTCAAAAATGAGTTTATTTTATTCTTATTTGGTAATACCAAATATAGAAGCTCTTAATTATTTTAATCTTAAACTAATATAATCATTTTATTTCAAAGTTTAAAATTCTCTTTGTTTTGACCTTACTTACCATTTTTTTCTTTTTTTATGCTCTAAAGTATGTGTATGCCTTGCAATAATTAACTCCTTTCTTTTTTTATAATGAATAAAATGGCAATTTAATACATTATGATTATATTTTCCACAAGATATGCAAGAAGTATGCTCATTTATATTATAAAGTCTCATTTGATCTTTAATTTATGAATAACTTTCCTTTTTTTAAATAAAAATATTTTAATTTTAATATATTTTTAATAAAACATACAAAATCATTAGGAAAATCCTTAATTATATTCATAAAAGTATTTTATTTTAAGATTAATAAATGAGTAGCTTTTACACATTTAGTGGTAAACTAAGTGGCATATTAAGAGTTAAAAAACGACATTTAACTCAAAAAATCTCCATTTTTTAAAGTATTTAAAAGTTTGTTAAATTTACCAGTTTAAACAAACAAATCAACTTGTCCTTTTTAAATGTAATAAAGATCAGGATTTTCGAAGTTATTTTATTCATATACAATTTCTCCAGGGCCACAAACCTTTTCTTAAAAATGAAGAGAAAGTTCTTTAAGAAAATCTTAAGAAAATGACAATGTAAATATCTTTGATGATTTCAGGATTTTCAAGTAAAAGTCTCTCATTATTTCTTCTCTTAAATTTGAAGGTAAGATATCAAATATCTCTTTTCCTTTTACTGGATTATTTTCATTTTACTATTATAAATAACCTAAATATTTCATTACTCGAACTTAAACATCATTTGTAATCTACCTTGAACGCATATATATAGACATCTCATATTTTTTTTTGTTAAAATCAGCTTCTTTTTATGCTAATTCTTAAAATATGCTACCAATAGTGTTTACAATATAAGCAAAAAGTAAAGACCCAAGTAAAGTCATAAAAATAATAAAAATTTTTTCTGAATTTGCAATAGGTGTAATATCTCCATAACCAACAGTAAACATAGTAATAATAGAAAAATATAAACAATTTATATACTTGGTTATGATGTCTTCATTTTATAATTTATTAACTACAAGCCAAGTATTAGTATAATTATTATTGATTTCTACCATTGAAATTTTATGAAAGATACATCCACAAATATGAGCAACATAAATAAGCATAGATAATAAACTTATTAATGTATAAAAATGAGAAAACCTTTAGTTTATTTAATAGTGTTCGATTAAGTCTTTTTTTAAACTTAAAATTTCAAAAAATTTGAGTCCTATGATTATTTTTAAATAGCTTATGTTAAAATATCTGGATATTAAATAGCATAAAATTATTAAAAAATCAAAAAAAAATTTATTTTTGTAGTATTCTAAAGTTATTTTTGACCTATCTAATTATTTTTAGTCATCTTCATAATATCCAGTATTTTATTAAAACATTATGTTAATTATATATGGTAAAAAGAATAAGTTTGAAGATATATAGCTATTATTTATTCCAAAATCAAAACTTATTTCAAAAGTAACAATAATTATATTTATTAATAAAAATAAGAAAAAAAAAATTTTCCAATAAATTACAATTTTTAACTCAGGATCAAAAATTTTTATTTTTTTAGATAAATGTAAAATTAAATTTTCAAAAATATTCTCTTTTACTTAGTTTGTTTTCTTCTTTTTTTGCTCTGTATAACTGTAAGATAAATCATTTATTAAATCGAAATGTTTGCTTTCTAATTTAACCAGGTTCAAATCGCGAGTTTAATTTCTTATTTTTTAAATAAACTTATTTAAAGTTTATATTGTTTTTGATATTTTCCAATCATATTATTAGCTTTTATCGTTTGTTTTGAAAAACGCACTATTGTCTTTATTTTAAATTGAATTTTATTCCTCATACATTATTTTAGATCTTTTGCGTTTTTTATTTTATTATTATGGATAAATACGTAAATATTATCTTTCGTAAGGCTATCTTGGTTACATTTTTAAATCTTAAAACTCTTGTTTTGGGGTTTTATGCAAATTTTAGGATTATTTTTAAATAGGAAGATTTTTTGGAGAAAAAATTGGTGTTCTTACTTATTTATTTGGAAGATTATCATTATTTTATGTATATACCATTATTTATGGCATTTACTCAGTTATTAAATTTAATTAGTTTTCATTTCTTGTGTTATTATTCTTATCAGATTACTAAGTTAATATATATTAATTTTTATTTATATTCAGTGTGAAGTCCATTTTAATATTATTTTTTAATTTAAATCCGAATATAGAATAAAATAAAAATGTTTTATGTATAAATTTTCTTATTTAATTTTTCAATCTATTTATAATTATATTTTTTTAAAATTAATTAATTTTTTATAACCAGTTTAAATTATATCAAAACAAAAAGTGCATAAAGCAAAAAATTTTTTGTAATTTATTTCTGGATAAATATTATAATAAAAATTTATTTTATATATGTTATAAATATGAGAGAAATATAATAATCAAAGTTATTAAAAATTATATTCAAATTAAAAAAGGATAAAACCTATATATGTTTATAAAATAATATATAATAATACATATAAACTAAATAAATTATTTAAAATATAGGAGTATTTAAAATAAGTTATATAAGAAAATAAAAATATTTAATAAAGATTTAAATGTTAATTGATAAAAAAGAAATATAAGATTGGATAGTTGATGTCAATGATTACAATAAAAAAAGAAGAGAAAGAGGATTTGAAAATCCAAAAGTGAAAATTGTAAGCATACTTGAAATGCAGAAAAAGGAAAAAGAATTTAACCCTATTTTATAATAATTTATAGATCCTTAAAAAGTAAAGCAAATAATAAATATTAACAATAATTAAAATATTATTGTTAAGCATTATATTTTTAAAAATGATAATTACTTTATCCAACTTTTTTTTTTATTAATTTTGTTTTTTAAATTTAAAGGATATATAGGCAACTGAAAAAAATGAATAAAATAAAAAGATTCTTTAATAAAAAAAGAGTGTAAATTATATAATAAAATTTTATGTAATAAAATAAAAAAATTATAAGAAACATTTAGAAAAATATGATAGAAATTATGATATTGTTAATTTAGAAAATATAGCAAATACAACTTTTAAAGAAAAAATAATTCAACCCAAATAAGTTTTATAATAATCACTTAGAGATTTTAATATTGTTAATCATGCTCCAGTTGCTAAATATATGTTTGAGAATGTTAAAATAATAAATTAAGAAAAAGTAATTTATTTTGATAAAAAAAAAATAGATTTTTCATCATAATTTATTTTTTATTATAAAAATTTATTATATATAAATTAAAGCAAGCATTATAACAAGTAAGAAGTTATAAATAAAGAGATTTTAATATTTTAACCAATAAATACAAATAAGATCATGAATAAAAAATGGAAGTAATTTATTTAAATGAATATCTTATTATCAAATAAAAAAAGGAATAATAACAAAATACAATGAAAGTTTTAAAAGAAAAATTCACAAAAACACATAACTATAACTTTTTATTAGGAAAAGCATATGATGAAGATTAAGAATAGTTATATAATTCAAAAGTTGAATAAAAAGTTAAAAAATAACTTTAAAAGTAAATTTAGTAACTACCTCCTTCTATTAGATATAGGTTTTATTTTTAAAAAATAAAAATAAAATTTGAGTTTTATAATAATATATATAGAGAAACAATAATCTTTGATAGAACCAAACCTGTTCCTGAGGAAATAAAACTTATAGATTAATAAAGAGAAAATGCAAAAGTAAGATATAAACTTAGAAATGCAATTGAAAATGAATATCACAAGAGAAATATAGAAATTCATGATAGAAAATAATAAAGAATTAAAAATGGAATGTTTGAATAAAAATATATAGACGAACATAGAAAAGGTTTTTATTCTATCAAATTATTGTTTTAATAAAAAAAGGATTTGATTTAATCACTCTAGAAAAAGTAAATATTCAAGATATAGAAAAAAAAATTAATAAGAAAAGTAATTTATGTTCTTGGGAAAAGATTTTATAAACAAGAAATGAGGTAATATTTAATAAGTTAATTAATATAATGTATATAATATTAATATATATAAGAATATGCTTTAAAAATTAAATAATAAATGAAAAATAAATAACATTTTACTCTAATTATAAATAAATAAGAATTGAAATTTCTAGAAACGAATCGAAAAAAAAAAAGTTAAATAAAATATGTTTTTTTAATTATTAAAAAAAATATATATATAATTCATATTCATTTAAAAATTATAAATTACTAATACAATCAAATAAAAAGTTAAATATATTTAGTTCTCTTTAATAAAATAAAAACAAAAAGAGAATTTTTTTTTTTTAATAAATAAATAATTAATTAATAAAATTAAAAAAAAATTAAGAAATAAAATAAAAATGGGACCAAAAAAAGCTGCTGGTAAAGAACCCGATGTTACAGTTCCTGATGGAAATCCTGCTGCCGGAAGAGATTTATTTGATTAAAATTGCTCATCTTGTCATGCTATTGAAGGCGAATCAACTACAGCCCCAGTTTTAGGAGGTATTATTGGAAGAAAAGCAGGCACAGAAAAATTTGCTTATTCAAAAGCTATGAAAACATCAGGAATTACATGGAGTGATAAATAACTCTTTGTTTTCTTAAGAAATCCTTCTAAGCATGTCTCTGGAACTAAGATGGCTTTTGCAGGACTTGCTGATGAAAAGGATAGAGCTGATTTAATTTCTTATTTGAAAAGTGTTTGAAAGAAAAAATAAAAATGGGATATAAAAAATATATATATAAATCTTTTTATGAAATAAAATAAAAGCATATATATATTTATATAATTTAATATAAAATAAAACTTAAAATTTTATTTTTTTATTTTTTTTAAATGATTTAAAAAAAAAAACTAATTTAAATTTATGAAAATAAATATGTAATTTTTTTAGGTTTTTCTTTTCTTATTTTACTTTATTAATATTGCTATTTTAATTTGTATTTTTAAGTTGATTTATTTTTACTTTATAAAATTTTATTTATGAGAATATAATTAAAAATTATTTTTATTTTAACATGTTATTAAAAAAAATATATATATGTAATATTTAATATAAAGTATTTTTTATAATTTTTATAATTTGATAATAATAAAAATATATAAAATATGTGATATTAATAAATATTTTATAAATTTAATATATTTATTTTAATAGAATTCTAAAAATGTTTTTCATCATTTTTTAGCATGTTCATTTTCCCAATATTCCTTAAGTTTAGGTGAATTTTTATCAGGCACAATAGCTTTTTATCCAGGTTTCCATTTAGCAGGACATACTTCACCATTTTTATCAACATATTAGAAAGCTTAAACAAGCCTAATATATTCATCAACATTTCTTCCTACAGGCAAATCATTAATAGAAATATGTCTAATAATGCCTTTATCATCAATTATAAAAGTAGCTCTATAAGCAGCTCCTTTTTCATGTCCAGATTAGACAAGAACTCCATAATCCGTGCATAATTATTTAGATATATCAGCTAATAAAGGAATATTCATGTTTCCCAAACCTCCTTAATTTCTAGGTGTTTTACACCATTCAGAATGAACAAAATGAGAATCAATAGAACATCCGACTACTTCGCAATTCATTTAACGGAATTTGGGAGCTGATTCTGAAAAATTTATTATTTCTGTTGGACATACAAATGTAAAGTCAAATGGATAGAAAAATAGTAATAAGTATTTCCCTTAGTATTACTTTAAGTTTATTGTCTTTTCACCATTATCCCAAGCTAGAGTTTCAAAATAAGGAGCAGGTTATCCTACAAAAGCTTTACAAGTCATTTTCTATTATATTTTATTTTATTTAGTTTTAATTGAAATGTTATTATATTTTTTAACGCTTATTTTAATTTTTATTTCTATATATTTAATCTTTACTAGAATAAATTATTAGGAAAGTTAGAAATTTAATATTTCTATTTATAAATTTTTTTTGTAAATATATAAAATATATTTTCATAATTTATATTATTGATGATAATTAATTTAGTATTTTTAAAGCAACTTAATAATTTTTTTATTATTTTGTTTGTAAATAAGTTGATAAAAAGTTTCAATTTTTTTTAACTTTTTTTATAAAAGAAAAAAATATTTGTGACATGACATATATGATTTATATTAATTATTATTATATATTTTTAAAATCGAATATTAAATTTTATTGTAAAAAATAAATAACATTTAACTTAAATGATTACGTTTTTTTTTGCTAGTTTTTAATTATAAAAAAAATCATTTATTATTATAAAATTATGGTGAAACTTAAACATAATTATTATCACAAAAACTATCTTTAGTCATTCTAAAAGAGTTATTATTGTTTTCATTACTTTATAAATTTTTCAATTATAAATTTTATGAATTTAATTAGGTTTTATCGTTATAAAAACTTTTTGGTGATAATTATTTTTTTTAAATATTTCCACAAGAATTAATTTAAATGCTGTTTTAAATGCTTTATTAAGAAGGTTATAATTAAGAAAATTGTTACTAAGAAGATTATTAACTTATTTTTAAATCATATCTTTGTACAGCATACTATTATTTATTTTAGTTCTGTTAATTTTTTTGTTATGCTTATTATTTTGGAAATTATGATTATTATTATTTTTAATTTGATTAAAATAAAGTATTTGAAAATACGCATAATCCTCCATTACTACTACCACTATTGTTAAAATTAAAATTTTCTTTGTAATCAGATTCACTATTTGTAAGAATTGATTTCGGAGATAAGTTTTGAGTTTACTAATGAAGAAAAATATTCAAATTATTATTACTAGTATAATTACTTGTATTTGTATTATTTGGATTATTTGTATTATTTGTGTTATTTTTATTATTTGTATTAATATCAAAAGCTTAGTTTTAAATTTATTTTTATAATAATTTAATCCGTTTTCTAAATCTTATATTCTTTAAGTTAAACTTTTATGCAAATATATTTTTTCTTTACTTAACTATTGCATCATTTAATCTTTTGTTTCTTCTCTTAATTGTTAAGATTATAATTTTTTTTCTAGATTCCAATATTATTCTTTCCATTCATTTAATTAAAGTTCATATTTTTCACATTTTTATTTTAAATAGTTAATTTTCCATAAAATTTTATCTTTTAAAGTCATTTTATCAAATAAATTAATATTTTATTACTTTAAATAATGCTCATCTTATTCGTCAATAATTTTTATTTAATTTTTGAATATATTTTCTAAACTTTGTTCTTGTTGAGCTTTTAAAATTTTGTTTTCTTTTATTAATTATTATATTTATTATTATATATTTTCATAATTCTTTATTTTTTATAAATTTTGTAAAGAATCAATTTAATTATTTATTAATTTCTAAAATTTCTATTCTTCATCTGTTTGTATTGAATTCATTAAACTTTCTTCTAATTTCTCCATAACTTATGTACCACTTTTTTTATATTTATCTAGTTCTTCTTATAGTAATTTATGGCTTTATTAACATATCTCAAATCTAAAAAAAATAGTATTTGTAACTAGTAAATTATATATTTAAAAAAAAAATTCTTTTACTTTTATCGCCAATGGATTATTTCTTAAATAAGTTTATCATTTAAAAATAATAAACGCTAAATTTCATTACTTAATTCACTCACTTAATTTGTCATATTACACATTAATTATTTATTTTAAACTCTTTATTAAATTAAAGTTGGCTGTGGTTTATTAAATGGCAAGTTATTAAAGTCTGATTACATTTACAATCTTCTGGCTTAATCAGAAGAATTTGACCGTGGCTAATAACTATTTAAATTTGATGGATATTAAATTTGTTTAATCATTTTAATAAATTATTAATTTTTATTTTTAAAATAAAGAAAATTAAATAAAAATTTACTTTTTTTAAATAAATAGTTTTTTTTTTTATGTATTTAACGAAATTATTCATTTTTTAAATAAAAAAAATATAAATAAAAATAACTTTTTCACTACAAAGATTTAATTAATATGAATATTATTTAGTTTTTTATTCTAATAATTTTATATTAAATAAATTAATATATCTTTTTTATATCTAAACCTTTCAACGATTTCCTAATTACTGTAATTTATTCTTTAATATTATGTATAATTACTTTTTATTTTATTTTATTAATAACAAAAAATATAAAAAATTCGTAGTAATAATAATAATTTAAATTTTATCAATAAAAATGGTCTAAATAACATTATTAAAAATCCATATAATAGTTAAAATTTTAAAATATTAAAGAAAATAAAAAATTGATTTAAACTTAAATTTGTTAGTAAATAAATAATAATAAAATTAAATATTTCTTATTAACATATTTAATTAAAAAAATAATAGCGAATTTTAATTTTATTAATAAAATTTAATACTAAAATAAATTTAAGAAAATTGCATAAATTTATAAATTTTACATTTACATATTAAGTTTATAAAATAAAACACATAAAAATATAACTTAATTAAAAAAAATCAGTTTTATTAAATATTTTTTTATAATTTTTCAATCCATTCATTTCTACTTATGAAATGATCATTTTAAGTTGATTATTATTTATCTTTTTATTAGGAAATATCATCAAATTAGTAATCGCTGTTTTAATTAAGACTATTATTACTAATTACTTAATTTTAAAATAAAATATTTATAATATCATAATTGCTTAAAATAATATTAAGTATTTGTAATTTTTTATTATTAACTATATCTTATATATTTCTTTCATAATTAACTTCCAATGGTAATCCATAAGATAAAGGATTATCTATAAATAAACATATAAAATTATAAAAAATAAAATATAATATAATAATAAAACTTTAGTTAATTGAAGGTTTAAAATCGAAAAAGTTTGGGCTATTAAGTGAAGTTTCAATATAAAAATCAGTATTTTTTTTAAGATCAGTTAATTACATTTAAATAGAACTAATTTAATTAATAATTTTATTTAATAATTTATTATCTTTTGATTAATTTGAAAATTCGTTATTTATATTTTAAGTGATATTACTTCCTTCTTGTTATTTTTTCTACTTAATTTCTTTGACATAATCCTATATTTTTATTTCTTTTCTACACTTTGGACAAAATTAAATAGATTTAGCATAAATAAGTTCTTTCAAACAACTTTTATGGAAAAAATGTCCACATCCAATTTTTTTACCTTGTTTAATTTCTTACAAACAAATTAAACATATATCATCCTAATTAATTAAATCTTCTTATTTAACATCAGGTAATTCATTTAAAAGCTTCAATATTCTAATTAATTTTATAAACAGGCATATATTTTAATACAAAGTCACTATATTCTCAGCAAATTCAGTCAATATTAGAGTATATAAATGTAATATTAATTTTGCATATATTTAAAGAATTAATTTTGTTAATGTTATAAGAAATTCTAATACCATTAAGAAATTATATTTAATTTCTATATGAGAATATGTATATGTTTCGTACAAATGGAATATATACTTTATAAAGGTAAACAATAAGTTTAATGATGTTAATAATATATCTAAAAAAATTAACTTCAATATTTAACTTTATATTCTAAAATGGAATAAATAATAACATATTATAAAATCCAATATAAATAAAATTATATATATTTGTGCTATTTTTAAATGCTTTTTTTTAACTTATACCGTTTCTGTAATTAACTTTTTATAATAACATATAAAAAATAATTTTAATTTTTTTTTTACATATTCAGTTCTTTTTATTAATACTTGATGATATATTATGAATATATATAAAAATGTTATCTTAATAACTGTTTATACTTGGAAAATATTTTTTACATAAAGTATAATAAATAAAGCTAAATCAGGTAATTTTTTTTAAGTTTTTTCAATAATGGACTTTTTTTCATTAAAATTAAAATTTAAATTTTTTTTATTATTATTTATTAAAAGTTTAAATTTTTATTTATTTTTGTTTAATATTAATATAAATTGATAATTACTATTTTTTCGATCTCTCTTATGTTACCAAAAGACAATTTAAAAATAAATAGGACTATAGAAATGCATAAAATAATAATAAAATTCTATAAAACTAAAACATTAAAGAATGATGAACAAAAATACAAAAAGCAAGAAAATATTTAATTATATTATAAGTAATAATTAGCAAGCATCACAGCTACAATCAAGATACTTAAAAAACAATATATTTTAAATATCATTTAAAATTTATTCATAGATAAAAATTATTTAAATTTAAATTATTAATAAATTAGATATTAAAAAAAAAAATCCTAATAAAGTAAAATTAATAATAAAAGAAAATAATATTATTTTTATAATTATAATAATAATTCAATTTTTACTAATAATAAAAAGAAAATAAAAAAATATAAATTAAATATATTAAAATAAAACACATATTTTTAATAAAAAGGAAATAAATAATGGTAAATATATTGTATAAAAATCTATTATCAATCTTATTTATATATAAATATTTAATTTTTAATTGCAGTTTTACAAATGGGACATTCTTATTTTTTTAATTTTGAATAACAATCATAACATAAATTAGAATGCCGACAAGGAGCAAGGATAACACTTTTTCCATTACAGATACAAATACAGCATTAAAAATTATCATCTTGATAAAAATTTTCGATTAATTTATTTTTATTAATTGCGAAAATTTCTAATCTTTTTGAATCATTTAAATTGGCATAAATTTTTCTAAATATCATTACTAAAAAATCAGGAATTTTACATTATATTCCATAAATATTTAAAGTATTTCTTTCTAAGCTAATTAAATAAATACTTCTTAAGAAATAAGATAAAAAAAAGGCCCCAAAACATCCAAATATAAATTTTATTCCTTTGTAATAACAACATAAATTAGAAATTTACTTAATAAAACTTTATTTATTAATCATAATTCTGAAAGGATTGTTCATAAATAATTTTTTTTGTTAAAAATCATATACAACTTTTCCATAAGCAAGCAAAAAGCTCCCATTTTTAATTCCGATTTGCACATTGTCAACTTTTACGACAAATTAAAAAAGCTACTAAAGTGAAGTTGGCAAAAAGAAAAAACAACCAATTAATTAATTCCAAAAGTTTTTAGCAAAGTTAAGTCCTAAATCTTCGTATTTTTATTGAGTAAAATTATAACAATTTTTGTCAAATAAAGTATATTAATTTTTTTCGTTTAAAAATACAGATTACTTGTTCGTATTAAATAAACTCTCCTAAAAATTAAATTTATAGTTTATTTAGCATTCACTATCTTTTTCTGTTAATAAAAAGGATGTAAAAGTATCTAACTTTTTTTCTTTAGTATTTTTTAAATTATTAATGTAATAATTCTTCTTTTTCCATTTCTCGCTCTCGATTTTGTACATAGATTAATTTTAGCTATAGCCTATTTTAAATGTTATATGTTAAATGCAATTATTCTTTTATTATGTTAGTCTATTTTTTGCTAATCCTTCTATTAATATAGCTTCATTTAATATTCTTTAACGTTTTTATGGATTTTTATCATTTATTATGGAATAAATTTCGTTTATGGAATATACCCTTTATTATTCAATTTTTTTTTTTTTTAATGATAATGGTTTTATTGAAGTTTAATCTATATAATATGAAAATCCGAAAAAAAGAGATGACAAAAACAAGCTTTTACCTAAATAATTATCATTTTCCATTTTTTAATTGATTTTTTTAGTTTATATTGTATTTGTAATTAAAGAATTAATTAAATAATTTTTAATAATAGATACGATATATACATATATTATTTAATTTTAATAATAAAATTATAAATATTTATTAATGTTTTATCTTTATTGCTTTTATATTAGATATAATTAATTTTTTGTTAAAAAAGAATATATATAACAAAAGGAATTATAATTTTTATTTTTGATTTTCGTATAAAAATAAAAATATATAACATTAAATATAAAAACAACAATATCAAATGTAATTTATTTTTAATTAAGTATCAAAATTAATTTAATAATATAGATATATAAAATAAAAAAACAAAAAAATTAATAATTAAAATTATTTAAATATAATTTGATAATTTTTAGCAACTTAAAATAATAAGATAAAAATTAATTTTCATTAATTTTATGAAACAAGTAACTGTCCATTTTTCAAAAATTCATGTTAATTAATTTAATATATAATTTTTCCTCTTAAAATTGTCATAACAACATTTCCATAAAGTTTTTAACTATCAAAAACATGCATTTTTTTATATTTATAATTTTAATCAATTTAAATTGTTTCAGATTTAAATGGATCCCAAATAACTAAATCAGCATGCTTACCTTTTTAAATATATCCTTTTTAATTATCAATATTAACAATTTTAGCAGGTTTATTACATAAACATCTAATTATTCTTTTAAATATTTTATTAATTTATTCTTTTTTTTTTTCTTAACAATCATTTTCTATTTTATCTTTTTATATTTTTTGAAATTGTTTGAATAAAGAACTCCATATAGCTTATAATGTATAACCTGCTGTACATATTCCGCTAAAAGCCCTTCTAAAATCTCCTTCTTATAAAGATTTATATTTTTCAGGTACTGGAAAATGATAACTACTTACAGTATCTATCATTTTTAAATTAAATCCGTTTAAAAGTAGATTTTTATTTTCGTTAGAAGCAATAGGAGGCTCACATTTAAATTTTGTATTTCCATTTTTTATTTTATTTGAATCAAAATATAAATATATACTTGATGTATCGGAATATAGATGTATATTTTTATTAATCCTTTTTAAATCATTTTTATAGTTTTCTATGCGATAAATACTATTTGAATTTGCTATATTCTTTTTTTTGTTATAAATATATATTTATATATTATTTAATTTTATAAACCTAAAACAAAATTCTAATTTTTTTATTATCTAAATTTATTTATGTGCATTTTAAACATCTTTAAATTATTTCGGAAACATATGTAATACCAAAGTATTCCCAAAAAGGTGGTCTGAAAGCTAAAAAAGTTAAATAATCTTAATTAAATTTATTCTTTTTATTAAACTTTTCAACTTATAAATTTTCTTACTGATGAATTAGTTAATCTTCATTAACAATCTGTTATGATTTAATATTAATTAGATTTTGATATTTACTTGGGTTTTTTATAGTTAAAGTTGAATTATATTATAATCCAAGTTAAGATTATCTCCTTTACATTAATTTTACAGAATTTATATTCAATTTTATATTATGTGTATCAAAAGAAGATCTTTTAATATCACTACTTGTCATTTTATTTATCTATTATTATATTTTATCTACTTATGAGCATGAGAATTTAAATCTAGGAATTTTAATTTGTATATAATTATCTTCATTTGATCCTCCACTCTTTTCTTCTATTTTATTAAGGCTAATTTCATCGATTTTATTAAAATTAATTTCATCTATTTTACTTAGACTTAAAACTCTTTAGGTATCTTCTTTTTCTTAAAATGATAAAACACATTTGGAAGAATTCATTTATTTATGAATATTTTTAAAACTTTAATCTGATGATAAATCAGAACTTGATTTTTATGATTATATTATTTTTTCTTAATTATTATTAATTTCTTTTTTATTTTTTATTATTTTTTTAAATTTTTATTTTTACCATTTTCGTTTTCTTCTAAATTATATGTCTATTTTTCAGCTCTTGAAATAAAATAGTCTTATGATTCTTAGGAACATTTTTTACTTAAATATCCGTAGGTATTTTTAAGTATCTATCTTCTTTATTAATATTATAATGAACTTTTCTTTTTATTTTTTATACTGTCTTTTTATCCTTCACTCTTTACCATGTTATATTATTCCTTATCTTATTTTTAATAGTAATTTGGTTGTTCTGAAAAAGTATCTTCAAATTCTTATAAATGAATTGTTTCTTTAATCATGTTATTTATCTTTTAATTTAAAATATGTTTTTTTTTTTATATTATATATATAAATATATATATATATATATATATTAATATATATATATATATTATAATAATATATTTTATATCAATTTATATACAGTCATATCTTAAATAAATTATTCTTTTTCAAATCTATCATTAATTTTATTTTATCTTTAAGTTTCTCCTTATTATGCATCTCCTTCCATTCTTTTTAATTCTAAATTTTGATTATTTCTCATTTCTATATTTTATTTTCGTAATGGAGAAGTAATGGTTAATTCTTTTCCTCCACTCAAAATACAATGAAAGCTAAGAAAAATATTTTAAAATTTATCAATTTTAGATAAATAAATTAAAATTTTTTCAAATATTTAATATAACTAGTTTTTATTACAAACATAATTTATATTATTTTGTACAGGACATGTTAAGTATAATTTGAATCCTAAAATACCTTCTTCTTTTTCTTATATTTGATTAAATTACTCTAAGTTATCAATATTTAAATTTGCTATAAAATAATAATCTATAAAAGACTTATTTTTTATTTTTTCTTTCTTTTTTTGTATTTATAATATTTCATTATTTATATCTTCTTCTTATTACATTAGTGACTATATACCTATTGTTGTTATCCCTCCTTTTGCAAATAAATATGTCGTTTATTCTATTTCTTCCCATTGTGTATTTATATGTAAATGTACGTTTGTATCAATTAAACCTGGAAAAATATATAAATCGCCAAAATCTTTTAGAAGTGGATAATCATTTAGTAAATTTTATATTTAATTTTCTTTTTCTAATTCTATAATATCATATATTAATTCATCTTTAATAAATATTTATGCTGGCTAAAATAATTCAGTATCTTCTATCCATATATTATTGCTTTTTATTGAATAACAAATATTCATTTTAATTATTATTAATTTATATATTTTTTATTTTAATGGAAATTCTTTATTTATTATTATTTTTATTATATAATAAAAATTAGTTTTGAAAATTATTTTAAAATAAAATGTAAAAATATAAATAAACTTTTAATTGTATCTATATTTTTGTTGATTATATATAAATTGCAATAATTAAAAATATATAAAACTTTAAAAAAAAAAATCAAATAATTTACAATTATTATTTGTTATAAAAAATATAAGAATAGAATATAAATCATAATAAAAATTCTAAAGTAATTTAATAAATAAATTTTTGTTAAAATATTATTTATTCATCTTTTTAATACGAAAATTATTTTTTCTAATGATTTTTTTTTAAATTTATATATTGAAATAAAGTAATTTTGATATTTTGATTATATTTTTTTTTACTAGAAACTTATATAAAATATTCTAAATTCAGATTAGTAAAAAATAAGGGATAAAAAATGTAAAGATTTAAAAATATAATAAATGTAGCTGAAAAACCATCAGTAGCAAAAGAAGTAACGAAAATACTTAGTAAAGGTAGACATTCAAATATTTAAAGTGAATCGAAATTTAATCCAATATATAAATTTAATTATTAATTATATTAGCAACCGGTTAATATGTTATTTACATCAGTTACGGGTAATTAAATTTATGTCTTTTATATTTATAAAAAAAATTAAAGGACATATCATTTAAACAAAATTTGATGACAAATTTAAAAATTGGACTTAAGTAAATCCTCAAATATTACTAGATCCAAATACAGAAATTTTAAGATTTATAGCAGAAGATAAGAAAAAAATAGAAGAAAATCTTAAAATAATCTCACGGGATGCAGATACACTTATTTTATGGTTAGATTGTGATAGAGAAGGAGAAGCAATAGCATATGAAGTAATTTTTTCTAACTAAAAATAAAATAAAATATTAATTTAGGTTATTGATATTTGTTAATCTATTAATAGAAATTTATAAATAAAAAGAGCTTAATTTTCTTCTTTAGATTATTAAAATATTAATCGTGCAATAAATAATTTAAGAGAACCAAAAAAAGAATTAAATGATGCTGTTTAAGCACGAATAGAAATTGATTTAAGAATCGGGGCTGCATTTACACGCTTTTAAACAATAAATTTATAAAACAAATTTTAATCCTTAAAGTAAAGCAAAGAAATAATAAGGTTTTTTTATTTTGTTTTTAAAAAAAAAAAAACTTATTATTAATTTGAAAAAAAGCTATGGACCTTGTTAATTTCCAACTTTAGGGTTTGTTGTTGAAAGATACAATCAAATTTAATTATTTAAAGAAGAAAAATTTTGGTATATATAAGGGAGTTTTACATGGAATGAAGGCTAATAATAATATATTTGTGACCTAAAATGGGAAAGAGTAAGATTATATGATTAAGAAGTAGCATCTTTATTTTATATATAATGTACTCATGATGAAAGAAATTAATTCAACCCAAAAGGGATAGTAGTTAAAAAAATAGAAAAAGAAACAAAAAATAAAAACCTTATCCATTAACTACAGTTAATTTAACAAAATAAGGTAACTTATATTTTAATAAAATAAAAAATAAAATAGGTTGCGCATTATTAAGAATGGGTTCTGAAAAAATAATGTAAATAGCCGAACATTTATATTAGAATGGCTATATAAGTTATCCAAGGACTGAAACAAATAAATATCCTCCTGGAATGTCAAACGATATATTAAAATAGTTAGTATAATTATAAAAAGAGTCATAAGATTGGGGATTTATTGCATCTAAAATCGAAGAAAACTTTTAAAGACCAAAATAAGGAAATTAAACAGATGAAGCCCATCCTCCGATTCACCCAATTAAACTTGCTTAAAGAAACGAATTAAAGCCTGAAGAATGGAAAGTATATGAATTTATAACTCGTCATTATCTTGCTACATGCAGTGAAGATGCCATAGGAGCTAAAACTGAAATAGATATACTATTTAATTAAGAGAAGTTTACTATTTCAGGATTAGCGATAAAATCTCGTAATTACTTAGATGTATGGGTTTACGAAAAATGGGAAAATTCAATTGTACCTAATTTCTTGAAAGAAAATGATGTTTTAATTCCTTAAAAAATAGAACTTTTGGAAGGCAAAACAACGGCACCAAAACTCCTTTCTGAGTCAGAATTAATTGATAAAATGAATAAAAATGGAATTGGAACTGACGCAACAATGCATGATCATATAAAGACTATTTAAGATAGAAATTATGCAACCAAATAGAATTTTATGTTTACTCCAACTTTATTGGGAAGAGCTTTATGTAACGCATATGAATAGTTAGGACTTACTTTAAGTAAGCCTGATTTAAGGGCTAAAATGGAAAAGAAAATGACTGCTGTAGCTGAAGGAGTACTTTCCAAAGAAATAATTATTTAAGAAATTATGAGTGAAATTTAAATAATTTTTCAAACTGTAATTGACAATAAGTAAAAATTTTTACAATTAATTTCTTAGTAGCTAAATGAATAACAAACTTCTCCTCTTTAATAATAAATAGGGACAACCTGTGGAACTTGTAACAATAATATGGAATTACAAGTTGAAAATTAAACAAGATAAATGGCTTGTTCTACATGTAATTCTTCATATAATTTACCGAAAAATGGACTTGTTATTTTTTAAGATTTTTGCTGTCCTGTTTGTAGTTTCTAAATTGTCTAAATTTAAAATCCAGAAAAAAATTCTTCTTATACTTTATGTCCTTATTGTTATAACAATCCTCCAAATAATGAAAATAATAATACCGAATTATTAAATATGGCTTGCTATAAATGCCCTAATCTATAATGTAAAATGTCTTCGGCATCAAAAAATTAACCTTTATTCAAATGTACATATTGTGTTGATGGAATTGCTATAATAAAACAAAAAAAAATAGATTAAAAACCTTTTGTTTCTTGTAGCTCTTTCCCTTAATGCGAGTCTTCAATTTTCTTTACAAGTGATATTAAAAACGCAACCCCTACTTAGGAAAAATGTCAAAAATGCAATAATAATTTAGTATCTCTAGAATTTGAGATTAATGAATAATATGATAATTTATATGGAAAAAGTATTATTTGTTTATATCCTGGTTGCGATCCGAATTTAATAAACGCAGGATTTACATACAAAAACAAAAAGAGCTTAGCATCATAATAATAAAATTAGTAATAATAATATTAACAACCTAATAATCAATATTAATAAAGAACTAATAATTTAACAGACATTGAATGCTATATTTGTAAACAAAAAGGACATTTAGCAACAACTTGCCCTAAAAAAAATAATAACTAAGTAAAAAATAAAAATAATAATAATAATAATAATAATAATAATAATAATAATAATAATAATAATTTTAATAATAATTATACAAATAAAGATGTTGTTTGTTTTTTATGCAAGCAAAAAGGACATATAGCTACTAATTGTCTTTCTAAAAATAATGGATAAAATAGATAAATTTAAAATAGCTTCTAAAATTTTAATGAAAAATCTTAAAATAATTAAAGTAGATATAATTTTAATGATAAATAAACAGAAGATCATGATATTGAGAATGAAAATCAAACTAAATTAAAGAGAATGTATTATACATGTTTGAATTGTAATTAAAAAGGTAATTTTTTTTTTTTAAATGTTAGTAAATTGTATTTTTTTTTTAGGCCATTTAACAAGCGAGTGTTCTTAAAAAAATAAATAATTCTAAAATTAATAAAATTAGCAATAGTAATAAAAATAATAACAAAAGCCTTTATAATATTAATAATAATAATTTAATTAATAATAATAAAAATAACAATATTAATAATAAAATTAAAAAAATTAAGAGAATGAATAATAGTAAAACTAAAATTAAAAGTAAAAGAGACAAAATAATCCATGCGCTTAATGTGGAGCGTTAAGGCATACTAAAAATAGCACTTGCCCTAGTCGAAAGTAATGATTTATTATGATAAGTTGCAAAAGTTGATAATAAAATTTACTATTTTTATATATAATCAAAATTTGAATTTATATATTTTTATTTTAAAGTATTTTCATTTCATAATTTTATAATTTTGCTTTAAAATACAAAAATAAAAAATTTTAGGCTTTTATATATTATACTATATATTTTATAACCTATTTTTAATAAATATAATTTGTTTATAATTTTGATAAAATAAATGAATGTTAACTTTTTACTCTTTAAAATTAAATATTTTTAACCAAGAAAATCGGAATTATTAATAATTAATTAAAATTACTTTAATATTATTAACTTTCTTATCAAATTTTAAAACAAACATTACATTACATAAAATATTTATTTTGCTAATAAAGTTGTATATAAATTAATAACAAAAAAAACACATAATTTAATATTTTATGTAATAAAATTTAATCATATTATTTTAATTAGACTTTAAGTTTAAATAATTGATAAAAAATATATTTATATAATGTTGTATTTAAAAAAAATATATTAGAACTAAAATATTTAAGATACATATTTATATGTATTTGATATAAAAAAATAAAAAAAATAAAAAATAAAAAATAAAAAAAATGTTTATTTTAAAAAGCAAATAAATATCATGTTTATATTCTAGATTATTAAAAACATTTAAAATTACAAATTATTCAGTTAGACCATCAGAAGTATAATTAAATATATAAGAATCTGTTAATCAGATACCAAAATTAATTAGAAAGCCAGATGATTTATTATTAAAATAATGGTGGTCTTAGACACGTAAAAATAAAAAAATGTATAAAAAATTAACAAAAAATTAATAAAAGCTTTTGATTAATCAATTGCCTTAAAAGTACCAATATATAAATTTATATCAGAACCAGGATAAGGATATATTGGCAAAACAGTTGGTAAACTAAAAATAATAATAAATAAAAAAATAAAAATAAAAAAAAAGAATTAGATTAATCAATTTTCAATGTTCCATTAAGAAGAGATTTTGTGCATTCATATTTTATTTGGAGATAAAAAAGAGATAAAATATAAACTCATATATGTAGAAATAAAGCTACTACAAGAGGTTCGGGTATAAAGCCTTAAGCTTAAAAAGGAACTGGTAAAGCTCGTTAGGGAAATAAGGTTCTTTAATTAAAAATTGAAATTTATTGATTTTATTTTTTTAAATAAAATAAAAAGAGATCACCTCATTTAAAAAAAGGTGGTAAGGCTTTTGGACCTAGACCTAGAATTTTGAGATAATCATTGAATAAAAAAGTTAGGCTTTAAGGTTTAGAAAAAACTATTTTTATTTTTATTATATTTAAAAAAAAAAATTAAATAAAAATTAGCTTTAAAAGTAATGCTAAGTGCAAAATTAGCTGAAGGAAAATTAAGAATTATAGAATCTGAAGCTGTAAATGAACCCAAAACTAGATCTATAGCAAAATAATTAAATAAAATTGATCCGTATTCAAGAATTCTTATTATTCATGGTTATAAACCTGATAGAAACTTCGAGTTGGCTCATAGAACTATTAAAAAAATAGATTCAGCTCCACCAGATGTAAAAAAAAAAAAATTGTAAAAACATATGATAATAACCATAATATAATAGCAAGTAAGTGTGTAGTAATTACTTTAAAATGATAGAATTTTCATTACATTAGAAGGGCTAAGATAATTAACATAAGAGTTGACAGATAGAACTTTCAGATAATTCAGATTGAGACACGTTGAAAGAGGTATTTTACCAAGTGAATAAGAAAAAATAAAGTTATTCCCTATAGAAAATCAAGAATAAGAAACAAAATATACTTACGATTCTTCCAAACCTTTATAATTCAAATTTAAAATATTATAAGATTATTATTAATAATATGAAAAACTTAAAAACTCAGGAGAAATTTAGAAATTTATTGAAAAAAAATGAAAAAAAAAATCGAATATCTAATTATATTTATGCAAATATCAATATATTTAATAAATTTGATTTTTTTTTATAAACTTTTATGTTTTTTTTAAAAAATTTTTTTTTTTGTTAATAATAAAGTGATATTTAAATTTTTATTTAAGAATAATATCATTAAAAAATTTAATAATAATAATGTTATTATAAAATATTTTTATTTTTTAAACATTTAATTGAAAATATACATTTTTATATTATTTTATAAATTAAATTAAATTTTTTACATTTTATCATATATTTATCTATTAAAATAGACATTTTATTATTTTATTTTAATATTTCTTCTCATCAATCTTATTTATTAATAATAAAAAAATTATTACCAATAATAATTTAATTTTAGAAGAATAAAATATTTAAATTTATAATATAATAAATAATTTTAATAAAATAAAATAAATAAATATTTTTGTCGTAAAAACTAATTTTACATATTTTATTAATAATATTTTATTTATAAATTTTATTTCTATACATGAAAATATTGAAAATAATTTAAATTTTCTTTAATATATAAAAATTTCTTATATATTAAATTAAAAAATATTATGTTAATCTTTTAATTTAAATTAAACTTATTAATTATAAATAATTAAATTTTATGTCTTTTTATTGATAATTATAATAAAAATTAATAACATTTTCGTGTAGCCAAATTTCCAATTTTATGAAATTTATTAAAATGATAAAATATTTTTATATTTTCAATCTTTCATTTTTATTTTATAGTTTAAAGCTTAAAGAAATTATTCTTTTTCAGCATAAAATTAAAATAAATCAATAGTTTAAGAAACTCAAAATAAAATATTATTTATCAAAATTAAAAATAGTGTTTTTAGGAATAATTTTTTTTTTATATACTTTTATTTTATTAAATGTTAAAATCAATATTTATAAATATATAAATAAAATAATATATAGCTGTTATTAATAAAAATCAACAGATGAAAAAATAAAATTTATTATAAAATAAAAAATCAATAAATACAAATTGTAAAAAAAATTAACAAAATATATATATATTAAAAAGAATAAAATAAATAAAAAATAAAAACATTAAATAATAATTAAAAATATAAAATGGAATCATATTAAGATTCAAATTGCTTACTTCATCCGAAATTTTAAGAAAATTAATAAAACATGGAAATAGTTGAACAATATTATAATTAGTAAGCACAATCTGCATTCTATTTATAACCATAAATTCAATCATATAACTCAATTTAATAGCAATTACCACACACATCTTTATTTTCTAATACTAATTTATCCACAAATACCAGTTAAAAGCAAAAAAAGTAATAAAATGACCGCTTTATACCAAATAAAATACAATCAAATTTATATGATCTATATATATAACAGTAACTATCAAAGCAAAAGGAAGAAAATCAAAATTAATTGTAATAATAACCGAATACGAATCCAAGAGATGAACAAAATTCACAATTATATTCTAATTTATTGTAATCAACAATATTAGGATAATCTCCTGAGCAAATAATAAACCAAAATTAGAACAAAATATTAAAAGACCATAATATGTCCAATTATTATTTAACATAAGAATATTTGCAACATTAAAATTGCTAAAAACTATTAAATTTTAGTTCCAAAAAGGTACCTTTAAATGACCCTCTGAATTCTATTTCTGATTCTTGTAGAAATTTCGAAACATAAAAAAGAAGAATACTTAAATAACCTTATAAAATTTTAGATTCTCCCAGTCTTTAAGATGATTTTTACTTAAACCTCCTTGATTGGTCTCCTTTGAATTATTTAGCTGTTGGACTCAAAAATTAGGTCTTTGTTTGGTCCGGTTGTAATTCGAATATATCCTCTTTATGTGAATACGAATAGTTTAATATTGTAAGTTCTGTCGCTTGGAGTTAAAGAAGTAATCATATTGCAATTGGAGATTCATTGGGAGTTATAAGAATATATGATGTTGTTAAAAGAAAAATGATAAAGTCTATAAAAGGTCATTAAGCAAGAATCGGAAGCATTGCTTGGAATGGATCACTTTTAGCATCAGGATCTAGAGATAGAAATATATTGGTTAGAGATATTAGAGATTATGATAAATCTGTTTAAAAATATTATGGACATAAATAAGTAAAAAAAATTCATAAAATTATATATATAATCTTATATTTTATTTATAAAATTATAAAAAGGAAATATGTGGATTGAAATGGTCTTTTGATGAAAATATATTAGCTTCAGGAGGAAATGATAATATGTTATTTTTATGGAGTTTAAAAAATAAAGGAGAACTAGCACGTTTACCTTAACATACTGCAGCTGTAAAAGCATTAGGCTTTTCTCCACATTAACATAATATTTTGGCTAGTGGAGGAGGTACAGCTGATAGATGCATAAGATTTTGGAATACTCAAACACTTAAATAAATTGATTGTTTAGATACAGGATCTTAGGTGTGTAATTTGATGTTTTCAAAAAATAATAATGAGATAGTATCTACTCATGGATATAGCTTGAATTAAATTATTGTTTGGAAATATCCTTCTATGAAAAAAATATAGACGCTTACTGGGCATACTTAAAGGGTGCTTTATTTGGCGATGAGCCCTTGCGGATAAAATATTGTCACTGGAGCAGGTGATGAAACTTTAAGGTTTTGGAATATTTTCCCTAGTTATAAAAATAGAAGCAATATATTAGGGTCGACGTGTATATTTCCTGCTTCTATAGACTTAAGATGATAAAAATATTTTTTTTAATTTATTTATACATTCATTTGCTCACTTTTGATTTCACATCTATTATTTTAAAGTAATTTACAAATAAATTATAATATAAATTTTTATATAATATGTATTATTTATTTTTATTTTTAAGTATTTTTTTTTTAATGTTTTATAATTTTATAAAAAGAATTCTTAAAATAAATTTATAATATATATATATTAAAAAAATAGTAAATTAAAGATAATATTCTAAAATTAATTAAAATATATAATTAATAAATATTATATCATAACTTATGTATTTTATAATAAAGCAAAAATAAAATTCTCTTCAAAATTAAATAAATTTCATCTAAACTTAAAAAGAATCAAAATATTATGATTGAGTTTTTATTAATATTTATAAAAATAAATACTAAACACATATAAAATATGAAATGAAATTTGTAGAATTTTATTAATGAAAAATATTTTTTAAATAAAAAATAAAATAAAATGTAATTATATCTATAATAAGAAATAATAAAATGGAAAAAAAAAAAAAAATTATTAGGTTAAATATATTAGATTTAAATAAAATAAATACTTTGAGAAATATTAATTTATAAATAAAAATAAAAAATTTAAAATAAAAAAATATCATATTAGTAAGAAAAAAAAAATGAAGATAAATATACAATGTAAAGATAAAAAATATTATCTTAAGATATTAAAAAAAAATATAGATGATATATTATATATATATATATATATATATATATATTTATTTTTATATTTATATTTATATTTATATTTATATTTATTTTTATATTTAATTTATAATTATTATCTTTATATTTTTTTTTTATTTTTACTTTTTCATTTTTATTCAAGAAATATAATTTTTAAGATTATAAATTTATAAAATATTTTATATTATATCAATTTTACTAACATATTTATTGTAAATATATAGATTATATAACAATTAATTTACAAAAACATTAATATACTTTATTTAGTATTTGAATTAGTTTTAAAATTTTTAAATATTTGTAACTTTATTTGCCTTCATTTTTTAAAATTCTTAAATTATATAATTATATCTCTTAAATATGAATATTAATATGATTTTTTACTAAGATTATATAAAGTACAATATTTTTAAATATATGAATATTATATTTAATATATTTAGAGCAAAAATATTTCAAATTTATTCTTAAATTTATTTTAATATATAATACAATAATATATTTATTTTATTTTTATATAATAAATTAAAATTTTACTATAATAATTATCAAAATATTCTATATTATTTTATTATATATTTATAATTTATAAATATATATCTATAATTTATTATATTTATAATATCTTAAAAAAAATATCTATTTGCCTTTAATTTTACTGTATTTTATTAAATTAATTAATATTTATTATAAATTATAGTATTTTATAATTTATATAAATTAAAAATTTTATATAATATTTTTTAAGAATGATTGGGATTTTACTAAATTTTTGCATTTGTATAAATATCTGTTTTATAAAAAATAAATTATATATAATATAAAACCAGTATAAATTTAATATTAGTAATCATAAAAACGAAATAATAATTATTAATATATCATATAAATGTTTCAAAAAAATAATTATTATTAAATTATATTAATAATATAACTATTAATAATATTAAGAATAATATGTAAGTTTATAAAATTATGATAGTCTATTAAATAGTATAATTCAACAAAAAGATATTAAAAATATATAAATTTTGAATGCATTCATTACTCTGTTTTTTTTAGCTAATTTAGTTTTGAATATATTGTCAAAAACAATATTTGTGGGCTTTTTTATGATAATAATTATGTTAATATGTCTCTTATATAGATAAAGACTTATTTTGATTACATAACTATATTTTATCTAAAATAAAGTAGAAAAAAATTGAATAAACCTAAATTGGCAAACCTAAATTATTTAAGAAAATTAACAATTTTTACAATAAATAGGTATTTGCAAAATATATTAAATTTATTTAAATATGAATAAAAATAATGCTTTGAATTAAATTTTTTAATTTAATAAAGATAGAAATAAATAATAAAAATTGATGGGGAGATTAAATAACTAATGAAGTTAACTTTAAAAAACTTGGCAAATTCATATTTCTATATAGATTTAAAACTATATCGTCTAGTAATATATTTATAACAAATATAAATTTTAAACTATGTTTTTTCAATTTTTTTTTTATTTTTCTATTAATTAAAAAGTTCTAATTAATATTTTTTCATAAAAATATATAAATTTCATAAATCTATTATCCAATAAATATATATAAAAAATATAAATTAGTTTTTTAATATTTATTGATAATTAATTAAGTTGTATATCATTTTTAATTTTATTATATTTAATCAAAATTTTTGCTTTCTTTTTAATTATGCTTAGTAATTTAATAGTAAGGAAATGATTAAAATTGCATAGAAGGAAGTTATTATTATTAAAGTATACTAATATTTTATTGCTAGAATTATTGATTCTATTATTAATTAAATAAGGAGCCATATTGCTAATATTAGAAATTTGTATTTTGTACTATTTAATCAAATTAATTAAATTTACTTTCATTATTATTTACAGAGAAAATTATACTGAATTATTTAAATTTATTAATTTAATATATTTGAAAGCTATTATTTGTTTTAAAATTCGTTAATAGAATTGCATATATCAAATGTCTATTTTACTTAATTGTCTTAATTTTGAAATTATATTTTTTATAAATTATGAAAATATTCAATTAATTACTAACTATTCTTTTATTGATCTCCTTATTAATTTTCATTATTATTTTTTAAAATTTTGTTAACATTTAAAATTATTTTGTTAATATCATTATTTATATTATTATCTTTTTAAATTTTATGGTTTTTAATATTATTATGAGCTTAATTATTATATTTTTCGTTGCCATAGTTTGTGTTTTCAGAATTTTTATTATGTTAACTTTTATTATCATCATTTTTATTGTTATAAGGGCGAGAAATTTCGATTATTGTATCAACTAAATGATTATAATCCTTGAATTTTCTTTTATTATTTGTATTTTAATTTATATTATCGTTAAATTTTCTGTATATTTAATTCATAATATTTGGTGTTATAATTAAAGAGTCATCAAAATATTTTTTTTTCCAATAATAAAATATATCCTAAAAATTTTTTAAAATACTTTAAACTATAGGACTATAAATTTTGATATCTGTTTCGTCATTTAAATAATATTTTACAGAATAAGCAATTATAAGTAAATACAATAATACAGATTTATATTCAAGTAAATTTTTAACTTCTGTCATATTCAAAAAATCTTTCATGAAATATGCCTATTCTCTTAATAATTTATCTTCAATATTCCATTTATTATTATCTAATATGCACATAAAATAAATCATTTCGATTTCATTAAATAAAAATTTTTATACAACTGATCTTACCATTTTCAATAAATGAAATTTACAAGACAAATTTTGTTGTTAAAAACAAATTTTTTTACAATATTGATTTAGTTGATAGTTATATCTTTAGTTTTGTTTTAAAAATTATATATTTATATAAATTTATTTTTAAAAGATGTTAGTTAATTTTACAATTCATTTGTGTAATTAAAGAAAAGGTCATTATATTTTCTTTCTAAAATTTCATTATTTATTTAGGTCATTTAAGTTTCATTTTTCTTTTTATTGTTTGCTTATAAATTTTAAATACTATTTAAACTAAAATTAGATTCTTAACAAACTAATTCTGAATTTCCTTATTGTTAATTTAATGTTTATTACAATTATTATTTATTTTTCATAATTAAAAAAATATATTTTGCAAAAATAAATAGATATAAAAAGTTAAAAAAAAAAAATAGTAAATTTGATATAATAATATATAAAATTTTCATATAATCTTTTTTTTTGTTCCAATAAATATTTCTCATTAATTATTTTTTTATTTTAAGTTTTAAATCAAATTTTATATATCTTCTAAATTAAAAAAGCATGTATTGCCAGTAAATTCATATAATTTTAAATACATGTATTATTCTTAAATTTTATTTAAGCTAACTTCTAAATATTATAAAGATTAATTTAATTAATCTTTAGTAAATTATTAATTATTCTTAGACTCTTAATATAATTATAATTATTAAAATAAAGATTATTTATATTTTTCTAATATCTATTTTTTAAATTTTTTTGTTAAATAAAATAAATATCGAAAAAAATAAAAAAAAGACTTAATATAATTCTTATTAGATTATATTTTCTTAATCTTATTCAAATATGTCTATTTTACCAATAATATATTTAAATCTACTTTTCACAACATTATTATTCTAAGTGTTTGTTTCTTTAAACTCGACTGAACTTTAATCATTATCTTCTATTAAATATCTTGAAAGTAAAATTGCTTAATCTTCTTATAAGCTAAAAGGTTAATTTGAAAATATTGATTTAAGTTTTTAAATTTTTATTTTTCCGTTTTATTCTGTTTCTTAGTCAAAAATTATCTTTATATTTATTATTTTATAACTTTTAAATAAATATATATTTATTTTAAACATTTAATAAATTATCTAAATGAATTTTTTATAATCGAAATTTAAAATTTAGTTTAATAGCCAATTATTGAATATCTGAAGTTTAAATAGTTTTTTATAATGTAAATGATTTTTTTTTTAATTTAATTATGCTTAAATTTCACTCTAATAATTAATTTCTTAAAGTGTTTTTAAATATTGAGGTCCTTCTAATTTTTTTATTTAAACATTTACACTTTGTAAATCTTATTTTTAAAATTATTAATATTCTTTTATATAATTTTCATAATTCTTTTTATAATTTTCTAGTTGTTTTTTCAAAAATTCATTTTCTTTAATTTTATTTTCTAATGTTTACTTATTATTTTAATAATATATATATATATAAATATTTTCATTATTTATTTTAATACCATAAATTATTTTTCTATTTCATTAAAATTTGCTTGATATTAAATGATCTCATTTTACTTATCTTAAACTTTTTTAGCTAATAATTTTTCTTAATAATGTCTATAAAAATGAAATATTTAAAAAAATAAAAAGTTATATGTTATAAAGTTTAGGAAATAATAGTAACCTGTTTAATATATGTTATTCTTAACTTTAATATAAATTATTTTTTTCTCTTAATTCTTTTATTTCTTATTTTAAACTTTAAATATATCTATCTTATTCTATTTAAATGTTTTAATTTTCATTTATTTGGTTTCTTAAAATTTAAAATTCGCTGGATTTTATATTAAAGTTTTATTCAAATTCATTTCTTGACTTATTAAAAACAAATGGAAAATTATTATAATTTTATATAATTAAATTATAATAAAAAAATATTAATTATATATTTATAATTTTATTAAATAAACATATATGACATACTTTCATTTTTAGAATTTCATTTTCTAAAACAACAATTTCTCCTTTTAATTGTATTTATTCTTCTTTTAATTTTATAATTTATTCAACATATTTACTAACACTTTCATTTTAATTAATTTTAGAAAAATTTTGACTTGTTTATAATTTTGATTATAATCTTATAGTTTCATTAATATAATGTTTTAATTAACATTCAAGTTCTTATACCATTGTTATTTTATTATTTTTTTTAAACTTTAAATATGATTTTCTTTATCTTACAATTATTTTTTTAAATAATTTATTTCTTTTCGAAGTGTTTGAATAATTATTGACTTTTTTTAAATAATAAATCTTATATACTTAAATATTTATAAATTTACATCATTTATATTTTAATCCGAATGTAATTATTAAGAATTTTTTTACTATCCTATCTCATGAATTATTTTTTTTAATTTATTATTATCTGTTTATAAATGATATTATTTAGTTTTTAATTTAACATTTTCTATTAAAAGTTAGTTTAACTATTCTTTTAATTATAATTGATTTTAATACAATGTTTCCTTTTATTTTATTAAATTTTTAAAAAAATAAAAAAATAATTTATATTATTTTAAATTTTTTATTAAGTTTACTTTATCCTCTTGAATTTTCAAAGGTATAGTTTTTTTAAAATTTTTTTCTTAATCTTCGCTTTTAATTGGCTATTATTTAACCGTTAATTAATTTTTTTAATTTAAGTTTAATAAGGATTTATTTTAAATAGGTTTAAATGCAATTGGAATAGCTTTTTAAGTTTTTGAATGTGTACTATACGGTCTTTTTTTTAATTTTCGCTAAATAGAGACATAAATTATATGTTTATGTTAAAAATCTTTATTATAATATGAATGATATAAGTTAAATTTACATTCGAGTTTTTTTTAGATTGAACTTTAGGATTTTCTTGTTCTTCTTTATTATTATTTTAATAAGATATAATATCCCTTTGATTAAAAAAATAAAAATAAAGACATTTAAGGATTATATTTTATAAATCATTTTACATTTATAAAACAATAACTGTTCTTTTATTTATATTTAAAAAGTTTTTACTAAAATGAAATACAAATCAAAAATAACATAAATTATAAAAATTAATTTTAGATATATAGATTTTTTTTTATTTTTAAAAAGCTAATTAATTTAATTTAATTTTTAATACAATAAAAAAAATCAAAATAAAATTATATATAATTAGACTCTAATTTTAATAATATAATTAAAATTAATGGAGTAATAATCTTGTAATTTTTATCCTTTATTTTTATGTAAACTTATTTTTGTTGGTGAATAAAGTAACAATAACTATAAACATATATGAAAATTATAAATTTCACATTAAAAATATTGAAAATTATTAAAATATCAAGGAGTTGGGAAAACTAGCATATTAAACTAATATAATTAAAATGTTTTTGAAACAGATTATAATTCTACTATAGGAGTAGAATTTATAAGCAAAAAGGTTGAATATAATAGTAAAGAAGAGCTAACATTTTAAATATGGGACACAGTATTTCTTATATTAATTAAAATAATGTTATTATGTATTTATATATTTATAAAAATAATAAGTCAGGATAGGAGTCGTTTAAATCAGTAATAAAAGGATTATATAATAATTCAAGTGCTATTATAATAGTATTCGATATTACAAAGTAACTTTAAAACAAAATCTAATTAAAAATATTCATAATTATTTAATTAGAATATATATGTTTTATAAATAATATAATATATATTAATATTTTGTTATAATATTTAAATTTCTATTTATAGTTAAATTACATTTAATAAATTAAATGATTGGTTAAATCATATAAAAGATTATAATTTAATAGAAGAATAAATAATAATAATAGTTGGAAACAAAAGTGATTTATCAGAATAAATGTAAATATTTATCTTAATAATTATTTATAAAATATGTTTTTTTTTAAATTAATGAATCTTCTATATAAAAAAAGAAAAGTTTAAGAAAGTCATGTTTAATAATTTTTAATTTAATAAAATCTTAATTATAAATATTTTGAAGTTTCGGCAAAAACAGGGTATAATATTGAGAATGTATATATAAAAATAATGATATATTTAATTGTTTTATAAAAACAGCTATTTAACTATATAAAAGATTAATTAAAAGAAAAATATTTAAATAATAAAAATATAAATATTTAATCAGTAATTTAGTCTAAAGATTATGTACTTGAATCAAAAAATATAAATTGTAATGAATTTAAATAAGATTAGGAAGATTAAAAAGATTAGTAGTTAGAATAACCTTTAATATATGAATAGGAAAATAATAAATAAAAAACGAAATGTAAATGTACATTAATTTGAGATAAATATCTATTAAAAATAATAAAATAAAAATTTACTTTTTTAATAAAATTATGTGTCCGAAAAATTAATACTGAGTATAATAATAAATAATTTTTTTTTTTTTAAATATATTATTTATATATATAAATTAAAAAAAAAAATGAATGTAAAATAATAAACACATAAATTTTTATTCGAAGAAAATTAAAATTAAAAGAGTTAAAATAAAATGACTTCTATAAAAAACTTAACTCAAGAAGAAAAAAAATAAATATTAAACTAAATTTATTAAAATTCTAACAAATTTACATTTAAGCCAACATTCTAATTCTCTAAATATTTTTACTATACTTCATAAGATAAAAGAAAGTAAATATTTGAAAATGAATAAAATGATATAATAAATATTAATTAAAATTAAAAAAATTTAAAAAAAATGAAAAAAAATTAAAATAAATTGTGTAAAATTTTAAATTAAAAAAAAGATTAATAAAATTAACAATTAACTAAAAAAGCTGATATTCCTTAATAAAAAAAAGGATAAAAAGATAACAGTAATGAATTATAAAGCTTTAAGTTGAGTAAATTTTCGACTCCTTAACGGAACTAATAATTAATAATAACAAGAAATATTTCTTTTTTTGGATAAAAATTTAGAAATATATTAAAAAAACCTTAAGAGCTTCTTGAATTTCCACAAATTATTTATAAATAATAAAAAAAGTGTATTTAAAACGAGTAACCTAAAAAAGTAAGTTAATAAATAAATCCTAATTTGATAAAAATGCAGAATTAGTATTATAATAGTGATATAAATAAAGAATTTAAAATAACAAATTAAAGTTAAAAGGAAAAAACAATAAATTTTAGTTAATATAAAATAAAAAAAATGTTAATTGATGATTATTTTTATTTATAAAAAGATAAAAATTAGAAATCTAATAATTTACCAAAAATAAATATTTTAAAATAAAAAAACTATTTTTCTTTATAAAGTTTAGGACCGGGATATTATAATCCAAATTATTAATATTTTTAAAAAGTTAATTCTTCTGCTTTGACATTTAAAAAGAAAAAAGCAAAAATTTTTCACCATAAAAATAAAGTTCATCAAAAGAAACATTGAAAAAAAGGAAAAACCAATTTCAAGATTAGAGTAATAAGAATATTGAAAATGAATAAAGCTTTTAATAATATTTTAATAGGTTGATAAAAAAAATGAAATCTTAAATCGAATTTGAACAAAAAAAATCAGGAAAATTGCTAAATCCTAGTTCTCTTAAAGACTTAGATGGTATTGATTAGTCTGAAATTAATCGTTGCGGATAGATCATACAATAGAAAACTAAAGAATCTAGAATGCATATTAATAATATTAAAAATTATTAAAAAATAGCTATGAATGATATGAATTTTAATTGATTTAGTTAATAATTTATTTTGCATAAAATATAAATTATTATATATTAATTAATAAATATAAGAAATAAAAAATATTATAAATATTTTCTTATAATATAAATAATTAAATAAAATATATTTATTTATTAACAATTTTATTAAAATATTATTATCATAAAAAAATATATCATAAATTTAATAAAAATAATATTTAATACATATATAATTATAGTATACATTAAATATTATTATATGAATTAAATAAAATAAAACTATATTAGGTTTGTATAAATTTGAAATTATAAAATAAAAAATTATTTAATTTTTTTATATCTTTAAATATATATATATATATATATATATATATATATATATATATATATTTAAAAAAAAAAGTATTTTTATACTTGAATTATATCTATTATATAAAATAATAATATTTAATTTATTTTTTTCTATTAGATTAATATTATAAATTAATAATGATATATAAATAATAACCTATTAATTAAAAAATATAGCATCATGAAAATTTTGGATTTTTTTTTTTAAAAAAAAAGTAATAAAATTTTTATTAATTATAATATTTTATTTTAATGTTTAATTCTTATTTAAAATATATAAATAAAAGTCCATTTCAACTATTTTAAGTAAATTTTTAGATGTTAATTATTTATTATAGACTATTTTATACATTATTTTATATACTATTTTACAATAATTTTATACAATAATTTTATACTCATTTTATATTTATTATTTTACACATAAATTTTATTGATATTTTGACTATATACAATTTATTATATATTTTTTACCTAAATTAAACTAAAATTAATTAAATTAAATATTATTATAATATAATTTATTTAATTTTATGGTAAATAAATTAAAAAAATAATATTTATATCATTATATTATTTCTGATATTATTTATATTCCAAAAAAAATTAAATTTAAAAAAATAATTAAATTTAAAAAAAAATAAGAAAAAAATGGACGAAGAATAAATAAAAAATAAGCGAATTTCTAATAAAGATAATAAAATTGATCATAATTAAAATCACTACATATCCGGCTCAAAAGCATTTTTAATAACAATGAATGCTGCCTTTGGAGCATTTTTCTTTGGATATTGCATAAGTGTATTCTCTTTAGCCAAGGATACAATATTTACAGTATTTAACGTAGATAAAGCCTATAAGATATATTAGAATCTCTTTTAACAGCCAGCATACCATTTGGAGCTATGGTTGGGTCAAGTACAGCAGGAATCTTATTAGAATACACAAGTAGAAAAAATGCTCTTTTATTAACCGATATAATAGGAGTACTAGCAACTTTATTAAGTCAAATTCCTAACATATGGACATTTCTAGCTAGTAGATTAATATCAGGATGTGTTACAGGTTTCAACAGCAGTTTAGTACCTTAATACATATAGGAAATTTCTCCAATACAATTAAGAGGAAAGATGGGAATGTCATTTGGATATTCAATAAATATAGGAATCATAATGGGATCATTTTTAGGTTTATTCTTCAAAGAAAAACCTAATTAATATGATTTTTATTGGCGATTTGTATTTTTGTTTCCTTTATTACTTACTATTCCTAGATTTATTTTCTTGAATATATTCTGTAATTATGAAACTCCACTTTATTATTACTTAAAAGGATAAGAATAATAATGTGATAAATTATTAAATCAAATATATAAACAAGATTTTATTGCTGAAGCTAAATAAGAAGTGAAAGAATAAGTTCAGTAAATGCAAAAAACAAAATAATCATATATTGATATGTTCTCATCTAAATATATAAAGGTAGTATTTATTGGATGTATGTTGTAAGTATTTTAATAATGGTCAGGTATTAATGCCGTTATTATGTATAGTGGACAAATTTTTGGAAAGTCTATAGATAATTTTGAATTAAAAAATATTGTTTCATTAATTTCTAATATTGTTCTTCTTATTGCTGCTGTTGCTAGCAGTTTCTTTGTAAATTGTTTGGGCAGAAAAACTATTCTTATGTATGGAGCTTTACTTTGTTCTATTTTCTAAGGTGTTCTTTGTGTTATATCTGCTGTAGATAAACCAGGGCTTGAAGGTTTATCTGTTACTCTTATTTATTTGTATTATTTCGCTTTTAATTTCTCATTAGGACCGGTCGTATGGCTTTATAATGCTGAGATTTTACCTGAAAAAGGGGTTTCTATTGCTACTTTTAGTAATTGGTGTAGTGGTTTTATTCTTACCTTGGTAGTTCCTTATATTAAAGATATTTATTATTTGTTTGGATACTTTGGAATTATGTGCTTACTTTGTTATTTCTTTGTATTAACTATTGTAAAAGAAAGCAAAGGAAAAACAAAAAACGAAATCGATAATATGTACTTACCTAATATTTCAAAGACGGTTTATGAATTAAATTCTAATAATAATGTATTAGGAACTAATGCTAAATTAGAATGTTTAACTCAGAAAGTATAATGAATAATTTTTTAATATATATATATATATATATATATATATATATATATATATATATATATATATATATATAAGCTATAATCTATTTTATAAATTTTTATTATATTTATTAATTATATTAAATTAATTCTGTTTATTTTTATCATATAAAAAAATATTATTTTCTTTATTACATTTTTAATATTTTTGTTTAAATAAAATTATTTATTTTATATATATTATTTTTAAAAAATAATACAAATAAAATAATATTATAATAATGATTTTATTTATTTATATTGATTATATATTTTATATATAAGAAATATTATTATTATATATATTTTTATATTAATAATATTTTTTATTTTATAAACTTCAGTACTTTCTTTTTCATTAGTTTCTTCTTTCTTCTCCTCCTATTCTGACATGTCTACCTGCAAATTGTCTCCATTGATTCTATTATTGTTACTATTATTGTTATTCAACATTACCAAAAACTCCACCAATTATTTTTGTATTCCCTAAAATATATTTAAAAACAATCCTTTTGCTATTATTTAAATTATTTAATAAATAAATAAATTGATTATATTTTATTTACAAAAATTCAGGTGTTTATAAATAATCTTTGTAATTTTTTGATGGTAAAATGTCTTTTAAAATTATGTATAAATGTCCTACTGCAACTCCAAAAAGATCTTAAAATATCTGTTTTCCGGTAATTAAATGAAATCCAATTAAAACAAAACAAAAATATGCACTTTTAACTTTTAAACCAAATAAAAAATACACTTCTTCAAAAGGTTTTTTTTTGCTCCAAATATAAATAAATGATATCATTAAACTTTATAAAAGAAAATTATATCCTAATATTAATCCAATTATCTTTTTTTAGATATAAAATTATTTAATATTAAATAGTGTTAATATATTTTACATCTAAAACTAGCATATTAAATAATACAAGCCATAGTAAATCTGCTAATTATTAAGGTCTAAATAAAGATTCTAGCCTACTGAATGAAAAATGCCTTTTTTAAATAAATAAAAAAAATTAAATAGTTTTTTTTATTTATTTACAAAAAGAATATTGTCCATATAATATTAGGACTAAATAAACCCATAAAAAAGAAATTTGAAATTAATCTCCATATCTATAACAATATTTTTTAATATCTAAATTTAAAAATGTTTTTTTACCTATAGTTTCAGCAAATTATCAGGTATTAATGCTAAATACATCGGACTAAATATTTCAAATGATCCTAAAACTGTTGTAGCGACAAGTCCTGTAAACATAGTTCTTGTGAAAAAAGGTTGTGATTTATACCAAGAAGTAAAATCGTTCATTATTATTTTCTTTTTTTATATTATAAATATTAATCTATTTAGTTAAATTTATATCAGAAAATTATAATTTTTTATTTTCACATGTAAATTAATTATTACAGATGATATTCTTACTAAATTGTAAATTTTAAACACGTAATTAATATTTGTATATTTTAAAATAATGAAATAATTCGTAAAAAAAAAAAGAAAAGAATTATTATTAAAATAAACAAAATAAATATATTTAATATAAACGATATTTTATAAATCACTATTATTAATATGGAGAAACATAAAATTATAATATTTCCTTACTAATTTTATTATCTTTAAATATTTTGAATTTATTTTATATAGTCTATATTTCATTTTAATTGAGATAAATCCCATAAATCATCATTATTTTTAGAACCTTTTATCAAAAAATTATTTAAAATAAATAATAATAATTTTTTTTGTACGTCATTTAAATGAACATAATCATTATATTAATCTATAGCATTTAAAAGTTTCTATAAGCAAAAATTTTATTTTTTATGTAAGCTTTAAATTAAGCTTTCTATTATATAAGCTTGCTAAAAATGACTTTCTATTAACTTAGCAAATAAAATACGTGTTTCTTTTTAGAACAACTTAGTTAGAAAATTATTTAAAAATTAAATTGATAATAATTATAATTTATTTACTTTTTAATAAGAATAATTCTTATAATTATTAATATTTTATGAAACTCTATCATTTATTAATTTTGAATATTATTTATTTTATGGTAAAATAAAATCAACAAAATCAGAAAATCTATAATTTATATATGTAACTATTTATAATAATATATTAATTTTACTTTATTTTTTAATTTTATATTGGTTAATATTTTGTAAAGTACATTTTTATATCTTAAAAAATATAATGTATATCAATATTTTTTAATTATTATTCGAAATCTTATAAAGAAATAATACCTTTGCTTTAAATATCAAACATATTAAATATATCATTTAAATTGAAATCGGGACATAATGCTAAACTTTGTTTGCTTAATTCCAAATTTTCGTAAAAATTTGCAAATTATTTTATTATTAAACAAAATTATTTTAAGTCTTAAAGTAACTATGTCTCTAAATATTTATTTGTAGTTATTGTTTTATATTCAATATTATTGTGAGTATTTTTTAATTTTTGGTTAGGTTTTTTTAACATTTAATTAATTTTTTAATAATTTTTTTTATTAAAAAAATGTTAAAATTTAATTATATTTAATTTATAATAAATAAATTAAAAAAAATATAATAATTGAGAAATCTTAATTTTTAAATCTATTTTTTTCAAAAGTTTTATATCGTATATATTTTTTATTGGTAAATAAGAATAATTTATAATTAAGTATCTAAAATTATAATTCTGTAATTTATATAATAAACATACAATAATTAAAAATAAGTAACTTGTTTTTCTTTTCATAATTATAATATATAATTCTAATATGCTTTTTAATACATTTATAATAATTCATTTTTTTTAAAAGATCTTAATATTTATTTTTCTAGACGCCTTATAAACTTATAATTTAACAAATAATTTTGATTATAAAATAAAGAAAATAATGTATAATAAAAATTTTACGAACTAATGACATAATTTTTAAAAAAGAATAATTAATATTAAAATATTAAAGAATATTTTATATCTATATATTTATTAATTAATTAACTTAAATAAAAAAATATAATATCTTATCTTAGCTTAATTAAAATTATTAATATTTAAAAACCTATTATTTTTTTTTTATCTTAAAACTTATTTAATAAATAAAATAATTTATCATTTATATTTCAATATAAAATATATTAACCTTTAATTAAAATATAAAAATTACAATCATAATATCGGATTAAAGGAGCTTTAAAATTAATTTTTAAAAAATTAAAAAAATAAGAACACAAAAAAATAAAAAAATATATATATATATATATATATATATTTATAAATATATATATATTTAGGATCTCGAAATCAAAATATGTAAACAGAAAAAAGTATAAATTTAATAAGTTATCAAACGCAAGATATGCATACATTAAACGCTTATAATAATCATAATATATAATCTGAATCTGAAAATTAATATCATACGAATTTTTAGGAAAGCAATACAAATAATAATAATAATAATAATTTTGAATAAAATATTGAATAATAACATTAAAAGATTGAAAAATACAAAAAAGGTGTTTATTTTGATATAAAATCTTTTGATTCAATATTGGATATTAACAATGTCCCTTAAACATTTCGACTAGATTATTAGCAATATGAATAAATAATAAAATTATTACCTTCTAATTTTTAATTAATATAATTAAATGCAAACTATGGTTAAAAAAGTATACAAGTAGTCAATACAACAAAAAGCCTAGAAGAGAAATATTCTGATTTACAAAGAATAAAAAAACAAAGGTATCACCCTAAAGTAGTGTTATAGATTATTAATAATATTATAATTAAGAAAGCAAACAGGAAACTTAATTAGATTTAGAAAATAGTCATATATAACAATAATAAGAAGGATATTATAATAATGAAATAAACCGAAGGCTTAATTATTAATATGATCATCAAAGTGAGAATTAATAAAGTAATTTTTAATAATTATAATAAAAGCTTTAAGAAGATGAAAAACGCAAATCTATTCGAAACAAATAATAAACACAAAAAGCTAATATTTCAAGTGAAGCGTAAAAATAAATGCTTGACATAATATATAAATTGAAAAAAAATAAAAATTCAGAACCTTTTTTAAGACCAATTTCTTAACAAAAAAATCCTGATTATTATAAAATTATCAAAGAACCAATGGATATTTATACTGTAGAAAATAATGTTAAAAAATGCGTTTATGCAAATTTAGATGAAATGGCTATTGACATTTATAAAATTTTTAATAATGCTAAAAAATATAATAAGGAAGATTCGGATATATATAAAAAAGCATAAGAAATGGAAGATTATTTCAAAAAAAAACATAATAAAAGTCCATTAAATAATGATATTAATTAATTGCAAAAAAAAGTTGATAAATTAGGAAAAGAGTTAAAAGAATATCATTCTTATGGAGGAAGGTTTTTTTATAAAGAAAATAGAAGATTGTCTAAATAAGCTATTATGGAAAGAGCAATGACATTAGAAGAAAAATAATAACTTTCTAAAAGAATTACTAGTTTACCTTAAGAATATTTAATTGGTGTTTGGGAAATTATTACAGATAGGTAATTTTGTATTGCAGATATAAATTAATTAGAGTTAGATTTAGATGAAATTACACCGAAATAAAGCAGAAGATTAGAAAGATATGTAAAAGTTAAATTGGCTTGTATTAGATAAGCTAGACTTAAAAAAAAAAAAAAAAGGATAAGGTTATAATATTTTATATTTTTGTTCATAAATTTAAAAAGGAAAAATAGAAATAAAATTAAGATAATCAAGAAAAAACTGTTTAATAAGAAAACATTTATTTAGAATAATATTAAACAGATTCTTCATATATCACTGGTATTTAATTTTTTAAATACAAATATATATATATATATTTTATGAATTCTTTTTTTTTTTAATTAATTATTTTTTAGATTCTGACGATAGCATGAAAGAATTAGATGATGATTTATCTGAAAAATTGAAAAATGTATAGAAAAATAAGATAAATTATTTAATTAAAAATATAAAATATTTATACTGATCAAAAGTTAGAACACATCTTATATTTTGTATCTATAATTGTATTTATTTAAAAAATGTATTTAATGTTTGGAAAAAAATCATTTTTTTTGATTTTTTAAATAAGTGAATTTTAATTTATAAAAAGGTTTATTCTTTATTAATATTTAATGTATTTTTAAATATTTTAATATGATAATTTGTTTTTAGTTAAGTTAATTTATAAAAACAAATAAACATTAAAAAAAGTTTTAAATAAATAAAATAAAAATATAAATATAAAGAAAACTTAATATAAATATATATTTATATTATGCCTTTTATTATATATAATTTATATTATAATTAATCTTCTTACTTTAATTTATCAAATTTTATATATACTTACCTATATATCAATAAAATATTTTATATTTTTATTTCATTTATTTTAGAAATGTTTTTATAAAGTCTATAATCCTTTTATTGTATCATCTTTATCTCCGGTCATCTCACTTAAATAAAAGTTATCATTAGGATGTATTATAATTTAAATAACTTTAGTTTTTATATCATTTTTTTTTGTGTAATCTCTAAAAATAATATATTGTTCCCATTCAGCTATAAAAATAAATAAAATAATTATAATCAATATTATTTTAATTATATTAAACCTATTTCTTAATTTTAATGTGTTTAAAATTTTATTTAATTTTTTTATATTTTTTTTTATAAATGATTATTTGGTTTTATGTTTCTAGTTTTTCTAATTTATAAAAAAATATATTTGCTTATTATTTGACTAAAATAATTCAAGAATAATCGGCAAATCGTTTTTGTCATACACTTCATCCTGAGTAAGTTCTTAATATTTAATAAACTTTTTGAAAAAAAAAAAAAAAAACATTAGTAAAAACAAAAATAAAAAATATTATTTTACTCTATTATCATAAAGTTATTAGTTTTATAAAAAATAACTTATTATTTATTCTTTTTCAATTTAATAATATGAACTGATTTTAAAGTGCTTACTATCACTAAAATTATATATTTATATGAATAAAAAATAGATAATCTTTTAAATATTTACCAGCAACTTGTTTTTATTTTTTAAACGTAATTCGTTTTTTTTGGTTGTTTCCAAACTTTTTTTTCAAGTAAAAAATATATTTAATCTTCCAAAATAAGTTATCCATTCTAAATACATTTATTATTATTTTCAGTTTGAAAGTTAATATTTTATCTTATTTAACCACAATGTTAATTTTATGATCCTTTATATTTTTAAACAAGCCATTTTTTATATTCAAGTAAAGATTAGTAAGATATTTCAAAGTTTTCCATTAGTTTTTAATCTGAATTTAATTCATTATTTTTTTCTTAATATTTTTTCAAAATTTGAAACGAATATTATCTACAATTATTAGCAGGTTAATCGGAAATATGTTTTTCTGAAAAAAAAAAATATATATATATGAATAAAAAAAAAAGATATTTAAAAATTTTAAATTAAATATTTATCTTTTTTAAAAAAAATACAAAGTTTAAGTTTTTTTAATTCATTAGAAAAACTATTTTCAGCAAAAATTTAAATATAGGACTCTGCGTCTAAATTAAATTCATAATCCATAAGTCTAGCTAATAATTAAAGTCCAGCAGAACATTAAATATGATTATTTTTTGATAAAAGTTCTTCATTTGTTTATTATCCTACAATCTGGATTAAGCCATTTTATTTATTATCTCCCTTTTTTTTAATTATTAAAAATAATTGTTTATATTATATTATTTTACAAACAATAATAATTTTATGGCTTTAATTGATAATTTTGGTCTTGTTTTACCAAACATTTCTTCTATTTTCCTTGAAATATATTTATATAGATATATATATAAATATTTTATTTTTACTATGTTATTTTTACCTATAATTTTAAATTTATTCTTCTGTGTTTTTATTTAAATATATTAGCATTTCACTAACATCTTTTATGTCTTATTCTTTACTTATAGGCTATCTATTCATGCAAATAATTCCTGTATGAAGATTTATTTTATTTAATTAAAACTTGTCTTTTTTATGTATTTTTATCGTTTAAAATATTATAAATTATACTGTATATTTCTAAAAACTCAAAGTATTCAAAAATTTATATATCATGTGATAATTCAGTTAAGGAATGAAGAATTTCTAAAAAAAAATAAAAAAAAAAAAAATATTAATTTAATAATAAAAGTTTTACAGTTAAATTATTGTTTACGATTTTCGATGTTTTCATTTTCAAATTTTCTAAAAATAATTTTACTTGGAAATTATTCAAAAACTTATTTATCGATTTAATTATCAAGCTTTTTATTTTTTATGAATTTTAATAATATAAAGTATCAAAAAAAGTAATAAATACATTATTTTTTAATTTTAAAAATTCGCTATAACGTCTAACTATTTCATATGAATATAATTTTGTGTCAACTTTTATAAGATATCCCTTTAGAATTATAATAATTATCTAAATATATTTTTTTTATATACATTAATATATTTAATACAATATATTTTCCATTATCCTAATCTTGCTTTAAAATGCTTTATATTATAGACGCTTATATAAGTATTTGCTCATTAAAAAATTTATAATAAAAATCTTATCTATCAGAGGTTATATTAAAATGAGGAAAATTGACACAACTTGCATTTGAATATGATCTAAATTTAAAATTATTCATTTATAAACAAAAATATATAAAAATTAAAAATTTATGTAAAATAAAGAAACTATATAAAATTATTTTTAAAAAAATAATAAATTATATAAATATAATATTTTCGTATAAAAAATTATATTGAAAAAAAATGATGAATAAAATAATATTTTATATATATAAATATAAAAATAACAAAGGTATAAATATAATATTAAAATAGGTTTGTCATTTTATTTTAATAAAAAATTAAAATGAGAATATAATATTAATACTAATATTATTAATAATTTTAGCAAAAAAATCAAAAAACAAAGATTTTATTAATAAAATTAATAAATAATTTAATTTATATAAGTTAATATTTATATAAGTAATTATTATATAAATTTAGCTTAAATTAATTAAAAAATATATTTATTATTATAAAGATATAAATGATAATTTTATAATAAAATTGGTAATATATTATTTTTTTGTTTTAATTGATAATATAAGCATTTAATTTTTAGTTAAATAGAATAAATAAAAACTTTAGTTCATTTATGTTCGAATATTGCTAATATTAAAAAATTATTTGTTTTAATGCCATTTTAAAATGATATAAAAAATATAATAAAATATTATTAATCAAAATTATTATGTTAAAACTACCTAATTTAAGTATATATATTTTTTATATAGTATATAAATTAATATATAATAAATATATATATTATTTATAAACCATAAATAAAAATAAATTTGCATAAAATTAAAGTATCTTTAAACATATATATAATAAAGTTATTTTATTTATAATCTAGTAAAAGTTAATTATATATTTATCTAAAAGCGAAATAATTTTAATAGATATTAATGAAAAAGTTAATTACAAATAGATAAAATTTATATATATTTAGTTAAATATCTTTTTAAATATATTTTTATATCATCAATTTAAATTTATTAATTTATAATTTATAAAAGGCGTATTAATTAAATATATAATTAATGCTATATTTAATATTAAATTAGATATAACTAAAACATCTTTCGTATTATGGTTAATGAACAAATCATGAATTAAAAAAGACATATTACATACTTTATTAATTTTTATGTAATATATCTAAATATCATTATATTATTTATTCAAATATATAAAAAAATTAGTATTTAATAATATATAAAATATAATAAATTATATTAATTTTAAATAACAAAAAAATGAAAAAAGTATCTCCAAGTGATTTTTATAAAGCATTAAAAGACGAAGGAGTAACTTATTATACAGGAGTTCCTGACTCTCTATTAAAAGAGTTTTGTGCATTTATAGCAGATAACACATGTGAATAAAACCATATAATATCTGCAAATGAAGGATAATCAATTGCTTTAGCTACTGGATATTATCTTGCATAAAAAAAGATTCCGCTAGTTTACATGTAAAATTCTGGATTAGGAAATGCAGTTAACCCTCTTATGTCTTTAGCTCATTCTTAAGTATATAGTATCCCAATGCTAATATTAATAGGATGGAGGGGAGAACCAAGTGTAAAAGATGAACCTTAACATATGATAATGGGTTCTTGTATGCTTGATATGATTAATTCAATGAAATTTAATAGTATAATTCTTTCTAAAGATGAATTTTAGACAGAAATTAAAAAAGGATATAATTTAGCATTATAAAATTAAGAACCAGTATTTTTGGTTATTACAAAAGACTATTTTTAATAATATGAAGTAATCAATAAAAATAGAATTTAATTAAATAAATATGAATTAAATAGAGAATAAGCACTCGAAGTTATTTTATAGAATATTCATGAAGGAATTTTCGTAGGGACAACAGGATTTTTAAGTAGAGAATTATGTGAATTAAGAGAAAAATTAGGATAAAATTCAAATATGGATTTCTTTACTGTTGGAAGTATGGGATATGCGAGCAGTATAGCCTTAGGAATTGCATTAAATTCATAGAATAAAAATGTTTATTGCTTTGATGGAGATGGTGCGGCTATTATGCATATGGGTTCTATGTGTATTATAGGATAATCTAAAGCTAATAATTTAGTCCATTTTATTTTTAATAATGAATGTCATGATTCTGTTGGATAATAACCAACTTGTGCTAATGAAATTAGCTTTCCTTAAATTGCAAAAGGTGCTGGTTATGAAGAAGTGTATTAAGTTTAGGGAAAAACTGAATTAATTAATGTCATTAACTTAATTTAAATAAAATAAAAAAAATATACTAAGCCTGTATTAATTGAAATCAAAATAAATCCCGGGGCAAGGCCGAATTTAGGAAGACCTAAATAGAGTACTATTTAAAATAAAAATGAATTAATGAATTATATATAGATTTAATAATGAAATAATATAATATAATTAATATAATATAATATAATATAATATAATATAATATAATATAATATAATATAAACATAAGTTTAAGATACTTTTTTTGTTTTAACTTTAATATTATTTATAAAAATAAAATTAATATTTTTTTTATTAAATATGATATGTTTTTAATTTAGGAATTTTAATAAACTAGATATATCAAAACATTTTAATTAAAATTGAATATTATGAAAAAATATTCACTATAAAAATTATAATATTATCCATACTATGTATAAAATTTTATTATTTTAAAAGTAAAAAACTAATAAAAAGAAATTTAACAAAAATAAATGAATAAAAAAAAATAGAAAAATGGAATTATAAAACTAAAAAATGGTCAATAAAATAATATCTGAATCAGAAGATCTATAAAATAATATTTATGTTTTGAATTAAACAAAAGAATATATGGAAATTCACTAATATTACAAAAAAATATCAAAAGCAATAGCAATAAATACAAAATATTTAATATATTTAAATTAAGATTTAATAAAAGATTATAATACATCATAATTATTGGATTTGTAACATTGAGTTGAAAAAATGAATTTAAAGATGTAAAATTATTTGTTTTGTTCAAATTCTGCATGCTAAGTATCTTCAAATAAATATATTAATGGATAAAGACTTTTTGATGTATGTATTTTGAAGTTTAAAAATACTAAAAATATGAATAAGAGGAAAAACAAAAAAAATTATTTGAAGCAATAAAAGAGTATTTAAAAATTTAAATTTGAATTAGGAAACAAAACAAATTATATGAGTAGCATTAAGAAGAGTTAATTTCAAAATTAGAAATATAATAAATCTTAACTAATTAACTATAAATAAAGTTAAAGAATTAAAATAAGTAAAAATAGAATAAATTTAAAAATATTATAAATCATAAGAATATAAATAAAGAATTAATAATTAATAATATATTATAAATAATTTTTTAACGAAAACATTATGTAATAAATAATAAAATTAATTAATTATAAAAATTCTTTATTATTAAAAAATATTTATGTTTTCAGAATAAACTGACATTTGCCTAATTATTTTAGAGCTAAAATTATCAAGAAAATATTCTTCAAGCATTAATATTAAATTATATTTAGGAAAAATAGGTACCTGCTATTATCAGATAAACAAATTTAAATCATGTAATAGCTAAAGTATTTATTTATTTACTTACATATAATCAAGAATAAAATATTGTAAAGAGTTATTATCGATAAGTTTATAAAGTGTGTGATTATGATTCTATTTTGTAAAGTTAAACAAAATGTAAAATAAACATAAAAAATTAAAAAAATTAATTTGAAAATGGATTTATCATTATATGCTATTTAGTAGTTTTATATTTATTTATATAAACTAAAAGTTCTTATAATTTAATATTTTGTTTAGATATTTATTTGGTTAATTATATAAAAATTAATTTTTATAACTAAATTATATTAATAAATTAAAATTATTTTTTAATCAATAGTATGTTATAAAATTTAAAAAAATAATAATTTAAAATAGTATATAATAAATTTATTTGTAAAAATAATAAATTAAAATTTATTGTATATTTGATTATATTATTTTTTATAAATTTTTTCTTATTAATATAAGTTTACAAAACTAAATATATTTTAAAACTAAATTAAAATGTAATTTTAATATATTATATCAAAGAATTTTACAAAAATAAATAAATTTATAATTTACTATATAATTAAATTTTAATAAAAAATATTTAATTTATTAGCAAGTTTCTTTAAAATATTTTTTTCAAATTATTCGAAAATTAATTTTTTTGAAATTTTCATTTTGATACTAATTAAAACTTTAATATGTATTTCTAAATAGATATTAAAAAATTTTACTTTCACTAAAAAATAATAAAAAATAAATAAAAAAAATCTAAAAAAAAAAAAAAAACTAAAAATAAATGATGATTAATAATTGTGACTTAATAAAAGTAAATATTAATTAAATAAAATACTAGAAAAGAAATGAAATCAGAAAAAAATGTATAAAAGCCTATTTAAAATAAAAAAGGCAAAGTCATTCTGAAAGTAAAAAGAATTAATAATTCTAATTAAATTATTAGTAACTATAAGCCAACATAAATTTATTAACAGAAGCTTATTAGTAAAACGATACTTAATAAATTTTATACAATTTAAAGTTTCTATAAGTTTATGTTTTAGAAGTAATAAAAAAAGAAGAAATTCTAATCCATTAGTTAATAAAAAGCAATCAATTATAATAAATATTTGTTAATACACTTGAATAAGAAAAAGACTAATAAGATTATAAAATATTAAAACATGTATTAATATGTATTGGAGATTTACTTACTTTAGAAGATAATTCTATTTATAAATATTTTGAGAATATTAATATTGTTTAAAAATTGATAAATTTAATGGAAACTAATAGTAACTAAATGAGAATTTTATTTGAAGTTTTCAGATGTTTAGGAAACTTGGCAATAGAGTAAAATAAATATATTTAATAAATGGTTGAATGTGGAGTTTTCGATATTATAAAAAAATATATAATCCCTAATTCATAAATATTATAAAGTTAATAACTTTAATCTCAATATATATTTTTTTTATAGTCAATTCTCTAAGATCATTAATTTTAAAATTATAATTTAGATTAATTTGTGAATTTTATGCCTTTAATAAATGCTGTATTTGAGAACTTAGATTAAACTGACGAATAAATGCTATTAGATACATTATAAATATTAGAAATATTCGGAAGAGATATATATGGTGAAGATATTTTCAAAATATTGGAATATAAGCAAGTTTTTGATAAAATAATTAAATTTTGTACTTTTGAACATTTTCATAACGAGAAGTTATTTTATAATTGTTTAAAAACATTAAAACACTATATAATTAAAAGTGATAATTTTAATTATTATTTCTTTAGCTTTAATGAAAATGAAATTATTTCGAGTTTTTGTTTATATTTATATGATGTAGAAAATATTAATTTTCAAATTATCAAACTTATGGTAGAATCTTTAAGCTTATATTTAATGTTTGAAGATGCATTGGAAAAATCAATTTTGTTAGTTGAATATATAATTAATGTTGCTATTTATCATCCTTAAAATAATATTAATTTTTAGGCTAAAAACTTTATATTTTTTTTAATTCATTAAACTAATAATTTATAGCATTAAATATTATTGTAAAAATAAGTTATTTTGCCATTAGTTGATATACTTGTTGATTAAGAAAAGGATTTATTTTATTAAACTTTAGAATCTATATATCATTTGCTTTATACTTCTTAAGATAATGAAAAGTATTTAAATTGTGTATTAAATGAACTTGGAAAAAATCGTGATTTTTAACAAATTATAGAAGATATTTCAAATAATACAGATTACGAAAATGTATCTAAAGCTTGTGACCTAATACTCGATAGTTTTTACTACAAAATTTGAAAAAAATAAGATGTTATATTAATTAATTAATATTACTTATTTTATGTAATTTTATTATTTATCTTATTTTTATTGTATTTTAATTTATGAGTAAGCTTTTAATAGTTAATATATTTAAGCATAATTTAACTAAATTTATAATTATTTTAAACTAAATATACGACTATTTTTTTATATTTCTTATATTTATAGAAATTATTATTATTTTAATTTTCTTGATTAATATATAAATAATTTTAGTATTCCATTAAATAATTTAACAAAAATTTATATTAAAATAAATATATATTTAATATAAATAAATTTATTTATAATCTTAATATAGGCTCTTTGTAAAATATTCAAAATTTTATATTGAAACAATAATATAAATATGAAAATAAAATTGCTATTTTTCATAATAATTTCACTTATTAAATCATTTTATATTATTATTTTAGTTTTCTTAATTAGTAATTTTTTTCTTATACTACAATATTTTTTCATCTAAGTCCTAAATAATGCTGTTAACTAAAATAAGAGATTTATTTTAAGAAAAACTATTTACTTTGACCTTCTTAATTTATATTGTATTATTTTTTATTTATTCAATTTAAGCTAATCCTTTTTTTTCTATTTCTATTTATAAGTTTGTTTATTTAGTTTCTATTAATTATTATTTTAATAATTGGCATTCATAATCACTTATCTAATCTTTATATAATTATATTTGATTTTCATAAAAACTTTTATTCGCTTCTAATTATGTTTCTAAAATTGCAATTTTTTCAAACAATTCATTCAATTTATATTCATCATTTCTTTTATTAAACTTAAAAAATATAATAATTAATAATATAAAAAAAACCTAGTTTATTACGAATAATCTTCATTATCATTTTCTAATTAAATTATTTTTTTTTTAATTCAAAATTAGATTATTTTTCGCCATTTAATTTTTATTAATATTACTGGATTTAATTCTATTTATTTTGTATTTTTGTTATTGAAATAATTTATTTAATTTACAAATTATTCATTAATTTCTTTCTTTAAATCTTAAATTTATTAAACATTTTTTTAATTTTAAATGATGATTTCTTATATTTCTTATTCTAATTCAGTTTATATTTATTAAGATATATCTTCAAAAAAGTAAATTTTTTAATAATCCGATTATTATTTATAAAATTAAATTAAAAATATATATTTTTTAAAAACCTTTATATTAGTTATATTAATTTTATAATTCCTCATATTGTGCTTTATAATCTATATTCATAATAATAATCAATTAAAAATTTTAAGTTAAATAATATAAATACTAAATAACGAATTAAAAATAATAATATTTTAATAGAAATAATATATTCAAACCAAAAAAATTAAAAATATAATTTAAATTAAAAATAAAAAGTTTATTTCAAAATACCTAATATTACACAAAAATTAAAAATAAGAAAATGTAAAAAAATGAAAAATCTAAAGACATAAAATAATTTAATATTTATAAAAATTAACGTCCTTAATCATCTCCAATTAAAAAAAAATATTAAGAAGAATAAGAAAAATAAAAAAAAGAACTTTCAAAACTATAATAATTAAAATCTTCTCCAATTTCAATAAAAATGAAATTCGATGATTTAGTAATAGACGGAGGAGAATTTCAAAATAATAGATTTAAAAAATAAAGAAGTTTTGAAAAGGAATAATTTTTTATTTAAAAACTCGAAAACAATTTTCTTAAAGAAATCGAAACAAATCAGTTTACTTAAAATATTAAATTTGATAATAAATTCTTCTAATTATAGTTTTAAAAATTTAAATAGCCTGTTATTTTGTAAAAAAACTAAATTACATTTTGTGATAATATTAAAAAATTTGATTATAAACAATACATTGTACCGTTAAAAGATAATATTATGCCTTTTTTTTGCGATTTTATAACTAAAAGTGGTAAAATATAATTATTTATAAGTACTAAGCCTTAACCTAATTTAGATAATAATTTCATTTTTATTCAAAATCCGAAACAAACAATAAAAATTGAGGATTTTTTTAAAAAAGAAGACTTTATTTTTATGAATATTTATTGTTAAGAAGAATCTTCGTTTATTTTTAAGGTTTATTTTGCTCCCTTTAATATTTATTTATAAAAAAGTGATTAAAAAAGTTTAAAATAAAAAGAATTTTCAATAAGAAATAAATTTTTAGAAGAAAAAACAATATTTTTACACTCATAAATCTTATGCGAAAATTCTGAAAAAGCAAAAGTTGTTTTTTTTTGTTAGGAAAAATATAAGTAAAAAAAGCAAGAAACTAATACTTTGATTTAATTTTCGCCAAAAAAATAAAAAATTAATAATATTCCTATAAAAAATACTTTAAAAAATAGATTTATTAAAACAAATTTTTAATGTGCTTTGTAAAATTTCTTATTTTTGTAAAAAAAAACGCTCAATCTTATCTAAAAAAATGAAAAAAAAATAGAATAAAATAACTTTTCAAGAATTGAATAAGAAATAAGAATTTTAAAATAATAATTTTAATTTTAATGGTATATTATATTTTCAATATTAGTATTCATATAATGCATATAGGCCAAAATGAAATTTCAAAAGTTTCTAAATTATAATCAATATTATATATTAGCTCCTTTATTAAACTTAAATACTAAATTTAAATCATATTTACAAAGGAAGTTTGGAAAAGGAACATCTTTTAGACTCAAAACATTATCTGTATTGGCTCTGAAAATAAGATGTAATATAATAAAATATTTAATGAAAAATAAATGTATATAAGTTTCAAAAAAATTTATAATTAAAAAACTGCGAATATTTTAATTAAGAAATAAGCTTTTCTAATATTATGTAGATGTTTGCAAAATACAGTTTGCATATAAAAGCATGAAAAAATTAAAAATGAATAAAATTTAATAAATGGTTAGAATTGGAACAAAACATTAAATTAAGTACATTAAGATGAGATTTATTTCTATAATAATTAATGGATTTAAAGAAAGCATTTTAATAAATATGTTTCTTATATTTAAAAAGAAGGATAAAAAGTACTTATTTCATATGTTTAAGAAATAGAAATTAAATATTATTAAGAAGTAAAATAATATAATAAAACTATTTATAAGCTACCTAAACACGAGATTATAGCTTATAAGTTTATTTCAAAAGCACTTAAAAATTACTTATTTAAATAATATTTAAAAAATGTTTCTGAATCATATATAATTGAAATTGGAAAATAATATTATATTGAATAATTGAAACTATTCGTAAAAACAGGGATTTTTACTCTAATAAATAATCCAATTAATGCTTATGAAAAAGAATAATAATAGTAATAAGAATCCCTCAAAAAAATTGAAATTGAAAAATTTCTTAAAGAGTCAGAAGGAAACGAGGGTAAAAAATAAAAACGAAAAACTTTAGTAATTTCAAAGCTAAAAAAAATAATTTAAAGTAATGATTTCTCGACTTCTGATAATTAAGAGGTTTTAGCGAAAACAACTTTTGATATATTTTGGAGGAGATATATTTATTATCCGATTTGCTAATCTTATCCTGATAGAAAAAATATGGTTTAGTTAATACTTAATAAATTACAAAAAATGGTTTGTTAAAATAAGGGTATATAAAAGAGAGTATGATTTTGTTTATGTATAAATTATTTATTTTATATGAATTTTTATTTCATTGTCTTTTACTAAAATACTATTGAACCATAAATTCGTCTTCTTAATCTTCTTCTAAGTCTTAATCAAAATGGTTATTGAAAGGTTTTCTAAATTACGAGAATCTTCTATTTTATCTATATTTATTTTATAAAAAATAAAAAAAATTATTAAAAATATATTAATTACACATTTCCTTATTTATTAAATATTTAAACTCTAATTTCTTCAAGAGTAATATCTAATAAATCATTTCTTTATTTAATTAATATTTTATTACAATAATTGCTTTAAGCTGGATCTTTTTTGTCAAATTAATATTTAACATTACTGAGAAGAAGTTAAATAAAATTCATACACAAATTAAAAGATTCACACAATTTATCCAAATTAAATTCCCCAAAACTTTTATTCACCTCATTTTCCCAAAACAAACACAAAGTATATTCAATATGAGGGCAATCAAAAGCTTTTTAAAAAGTTAAAAAAACTTAGTCTTAGCTTAAATTATAATTTATAGTTCCTTTTTCAAGACTTCTATAGGCGAAATATTGTCTATAGGCTTTTATTAAAGAAACTTAATTTTTTTTAAACAAGATAATTCGAGGTAGAATATTATAATCATTAGTTTCATTTATATAATTTAATTAATAATTAATTAAGCTTTATTATAACTTGCTTTTCAATGATAATCCACAGCACCAACCTGCACCTTTTTTCATATTTTTTTTTGAGTTTTCTTGTAATATTATTTTTTATTAATTTGATGGTGTTTATGCGAAAAGTTAAATAGTTGAAGTCGTTATTTATTAGTTTTTTTTATTTTCATTTTCTAAATTGCTAAATGGAATTAATATATGACCAATAGAAATTTCTAAATCTTCCTTTTTTTCATTTTTATAGAAATGAAAAACGAATTCAGCGCAAAGAAAAATGCTGTTTTTTTGATTTTCGCTTTGTTCTTCATATTTAATAAAAACTTCATTTTCTACAAAAAACCATTTTCTTTCATTCTGGTCTTTAATGTTACAATTTAAACGTGAAACATTTCCTATAAATTATTACTTTTTGTCGTCCCAAAGGCATAAATAAACTTTTCTTAAAGCTATTTTTTCTGTTGGAAAGTCAAATTTATTTACAGAAGGAAGATTTTCGGTTTAAATGAATTGTTATTTAGATTATTTTTTAAGATTCACTTTTATGTTATGGATTTAGGAAAATTCCTATATTTATATCTTTTGGATTTATGTAATAAAGGTCAGGATATATTAGTTCATTGTTAAGTTTCGGTTTAAGGGTTTGAGAAGGTAAGTGCTTTAGTTTTTGATTTTAAGAACGCAAAAAAGAAAGACGGAATTAATCTGGAAGAATTTAAAATATTTCTACAAGATCTTTTGGTGAGTATTTATACTTATATTTAATCTAATTTTGTTTGTTTAAAAAATAAAGAAATTATTAAAAATATTTATAAATTAAAAAAAAAAAATTACTTTGAAAATAAAAGAAATAATAATTGCATTTTTTCCTGAATAATTATTAATTAATTAATAAAATTCCTCAAAGGAAATTTTGCCTAACTTTTACTTATCTAATAAGGAAAATGTTTCCCATATTTCCCTTTATTTAAGTATAATATTTAAATTAACAAAAATTTAATTAAACTAAGCTAAATTTAATAAACCGACTATTTTTTTGAATTCTCCTTTTAATAAATCATTAATATTCTCATCCATCTTTTAACCTAAAAGGCAATTTTAAATAAAAAAATCTTAAAATTCTATAAAGCTTAAGCTTTTAAACTCATATTATTTACTAGGAAAAAAATCTAGCTTCGCAAGTAAAATATTCAATTCATTTAAACTCAAAGTATTAGCTTTACTTTTATTTGCATAAATATATAAAATATTCAGTTCATTTTCTATTTCTTTTGGTAGATTTTCTTCTATTTCATATTCGTAATCATTAAAAAAATCCACAAATTCACCATAATTAGCTCTAGATTAATTCTATTTACATATTTATCCGAAAAGATTTTTAATTTCGGTTTATTTTTCGATATTTGTTTCCTATAATCCAATTAGAAATTCAGTTATTTACTAAAACTAGTCCTCATAAACATAAGGACTATGTTAAAAATACAAATCGGTAAGTGCAAATGAATCTTAGTTTTTAATTTATAACAATTAATCACTTAAATTCGTTTTTAATTGGATTTTTTTTTTTCTTCTGGGAAAACTACTTGACATGTCACTAATTTATTCCATATTATTAGGATTTAATTATTCATTTTCTTAGCTTTATAAAGGCTCATAAGTATAATCGTTGGGCCTTTAAGGCAAAAAAATTAATTCTTCATCATTTTGTGTTTATATTTTGGTTGAAAAAGAAATTCTTTTTTATAAATTTAGCTTTTCAATTGCATCCTTTTACATTTAAGGAAAAATTGTACTATTATTATTTAAAAAAACGGTCATTTATTCTTCATTTATTATTTATTCTTATCCAGTTATTTTCTAAAAAATGAATTCGAGATCATTTTCATCTAATAATATATTAAATCTGTTAGATAAAAATACTTAAAAATCTACAATGTCCCATTCTTGTTTATTTTAGTAACTTTTTAACAATTCTTTGCAAGTAATTTATTCTAAATACAATATATATTAAAATAAAATTGGAAGAATTTCTTCAATTCCATCTAGAAAAAGTGCCATTTTAATCACTTACATACTCCCGTTTAAACTAAATTGATTGAAAATGTATTAAATTTCTTTGAAAGATAATTATATATCTATACTTTTAAGAAATTCTTCTAAGTTGATTTTAGAAAAAGAAAGGTCAATTTTTTAAGTAAAACAACTTAATGCATGAATAGTTTATATTTGAGATTTTTTTAAAACTAATTTAATTTTTTACAATATAAATGAAGTCTATTTACTGTTTAGTATATTTATAATATCTATATTCTTTATTTTATATAAATATAAAATTATAAATATACAAATATGTATGAATAAAAATATATATATATATATATATATATCAAATATATTATATATATTTATATATATTTATATATATATTTATATATATATTATTATTAATTATATATTTTACTGGATTATATGATTAATTTATATATAAAAACATACAAAAATCTTATTGATTAATAACTTTACTATTTAGATTATTTGAATTCGTCTATTAATTTTTTATTATACTATTAATGGATTATTATTAATTTTTAATATTTATATTTTATATGAATTCAAATAATTTTTCAATTTAGCTATTCCAAACTTCTTTTTAAAGATAGAATCTTTTATACAAATAGTTTTAGAAATACTCAAAAGAGCAATAATTTTTTTCTTACAAAAATTATAAGAAATATTCTAATGGGCCTATTTTTTTATATTAAATGTCAAATAAAATACCCTTTTAAATAATTTCGAAAAATCCTCCGTAAAAAACTTTGCATACAATGTTAAAATAAGCCATATTTTTTTCCTAAGAGTTCCAGAATTATTTAAAAAGTTTACTTATTTTTTCTTTTTATGGATTTTCTATTATTTCTTTAAATATTTCATATAATTTATTCTCAGAATCTAGTAGAAGTGTATATTAAAAATCATAGTCTAATAAAAGTATAAAAATATCAATTTTTTTCTACCAAATATTTCTTTTTAAAACCTCAAGTATATCTAACTATTCATCTTCATCCTAAATATAATCTGAATTAGCTCTTCTAAAACTAAACGGCTTTTAAGAAACAGGGATATTAGTGTTATTTTCTGAAGAAATTATACTTTAATTTATAGTCTGTATTTAGGAATAATTGTCCCAATTAACACTTTTTTAAAACTCGTCTTCATTTTCAATTAGAAAAGTTAAATTTATTTTCTTTTATATTTAAATATGGCCTTATATTATATTTATGAATTCTTATTTGTTTATTTTTCCATTTAGATCTATATCAAATGCATTAAAAGCTTCCAAGAACTATTTTTTTTTTAAATATATTATTTTAAAATAATTAATTATATAATAAAAAAACTTCATCTTTAGGAATTTTAAATTCGCAGTATTACAAAAGATCCTTAAATTCATTAATTTTAAGAAAATCTTTTTTATGAGAAAAAATATCAAAGAAAACATCTAGAGCAATATTTTAATCAATAATAATAAGTTTAATAGCCTTTTAAATAGGCTCAATATTATAAGCATAATTAAGTAAATCATTACAAAAATTTTCATATTGAAAAATATCATCATTTGTACAATAATTTTAATATATAAGATTAATTTCTATAGGTTTTAATTATATTTATTTTTATTTAAAGATCTCTTTTAATTAAAGAAAATTAATAAATTCTTTATTTTATTTTTAATTTTCAAATTCTTTATTTATATCACATTTTTGGGATATTATTGTTCTTCTAATTTTTCTCAAGACTTAATTTAAATTTATTTCTTCACCTTTTTCTATTGAATCCATAAATTCTTCAAAGCTTATTTTACCATCTTTATTTTAATCAAGAAAAGTGTATAATTCATCTAGCTAATCAAAACTAAAATCAAATCCAAGTATTTTTAAAAACATCTTTTTTTTATTTAAATATAATATAAATAAAAAAATTTAATATTATATACTTATAAGGATTAAATATTTATTGATCCTTCATCTTATGAAAATTAATTATATATTTGTTTTAAAGATTTATCATTTTTGTCTTGATACTCAAGTATTTTTTAACGAATTATATTAAAATTCATATGATTTTCTAATATTATGCTTTTAAATTTTTCGAAATAAATAAAATCATCACATTCTTTTTCAATAAAATGGGAAAATAGTAATTCTAATTATTTTTCATTAAAATTAAAATCGGAAAGATTTTAAATATATTTTTTAAATTTTTCATAACTTAACTTTTAATCATTATCAATATCAATTTCTTAAAATTTTTTTTATAAATCTTATTCTTAATTTTCAAGAATTAGCTTTTTATAAAAATAAAAATATTGTATTTAAATATAAGGTAATTATTTATATATATAATATGTTATTAATATATAAAATAAATAAAAAAGATATTTACTTTTTTAAAGCATTTATTTTATATGACTAAAATAATTATATTAATAATAAAAAAAATATATAAATATAAAATATTCAAATATACAAATATAAAATATATATAAATATAAATATATAAATATATAAATATATATATATTTATATTTAAATATATTTTTTAATTTACTGATTTAAATTAACTTAATAAAGGTAATATATCAGCTTTTATTTATGTATTTATTTTAAGTATTTTAATAAAATTATTTATTTTTATTTTCATTTCTTAATCACAATCAAATATGTCAAAAGTACCTTTTTTTATATATATTATAATAAATTTTTAATTTATTTAAAAGATTTTACTATCAATAAGTAATTATAAAATTTTCTTATCATATTTTTCTATTGAAGGAATTAATTTAGAATCTGATAACGCATTTTAATATTCTTAAAAAGATATAAAATCATCATTATCTTTATCAAACTTCTTATAAACATATCTTATTCCAACATTTTTCTTATCCATGTAATTTTTAATATCTTTACTTATATTTTAAATAAAATCTTCTATTTCATTTTTATTTGTTTGATTTTTAATTTTTTTCTTTAATTTTTTATTATTATTTTCATTTTATTTTTCATCTTATTCTTAAAATTAAACAGTTTTTCTTTATTTTCTTTAAATTTTGTAAAATAGTTTTTCATATTCTACATATTTTCTATTTCTAAGAACTTCTTTGGTTTCACAGTAATATTCAATATCTAAAATATTTAATTTTTCTTTATAATTTAAATCATATTCTAAAATATCTAAAAACTAAAAAAAAACAAATTAAAAAAAAATAAAAAAAATTATTTAAAATAACTTCTTCTAAAGATATTTCTAAATCATGAATCTTTTAGCAAAAACCAATAAAATTTTCCTCATTTTTTTAAAGAAATTTTTATAAATTATCAAAAATTTTGAATTAAATATCGTCATAAAATTTAATAAAAGAGATCGTTTTAAACATATAATTATCATCTATAAAAAAATCGAAGAAATCTTTAAAAACATCAACACATTTTTAACTATCAATATATAATTTTTCATAAAAAAGCTTATCTAATTCATATTTATCGTATTTATTTTTATCCAAAATATTATTAATGTTCAATTTTAATTCTAAAATTTTATTTCTGATTATAAATGTAAACATT